TGGTGGGATCCCCATTACTAGTTCACCAGGGGAATAGAATAGAATAGAATTTAATTGAAGCCCCTACTGAGTCTGTGACTATGAAGGACTGCTAAAACTATACGAACAGATCTAGATTTTAATATGAATAATTTTATTTTTGGTATTTTCAACGTTTGCCAATAGATATTGAGGGTCATGCCCTGTTATATCTTGCCCTTATCCACCATATTATTCTATGCCCCTATATCCTCCATACTCATCTCTCCTCTTCATCCTTATCTCTTTAAAGATGCCATCTTCTTGTTGATATTTTTGTCTTTTTAATGAACTTTATGGTATTTTCTATTCCAAGTTTTGTATGAAGCAACAGCTTCAAACTCAATTGGTTTCCATTTAGACTAGTTTTCAGCTGACTTCGTTCGTGTCTGTAGTTGCTGCAGCTGAGTAATAAGTGCTCAGGTGTTTCTCTTTTCCCACATCTACACCTGTCACTATCACTTAGCCCATGCTTATACAGGTATGACTTATTGTAGCCATGTCCAATTTTTAGCTGATAATATGCGCTTGCTACTTCTCTCTCTGTGCAAGATGGTAAGTTGATTTTAGACTTTATTTCCAGCCGAATCTTTTCTGACGGTTTAATGGATTATTTAATGAATAATTCTTGATTTGATTTCATTTCATTTAGCCCGTTCAGGTGCCCTATGGGCCCATGCAGGTATATCTAGCTATCATATTTACACAGGAGGAAACCAAATTGGTAAAAACCCCCCACAACTGTCTATCTCGTGTCTATTTGTTTCCAGAGGTTTCCTACAGGAAGTGCGTTTAAACTGTACGTCCAGTGTGAATATGTTGTAAAGGTAAGAGCTTACGGAGGTTAATTGGCAGAAAGTTTATGGGTGATTATCGATGAATCAATGTGAACTGCTGATATTCTTGATATTCAGAACTGTAAGGATTTTAAGGAGGTAGAAAGAGCTAATTATATACACACCTGAGGTAGCTAGACTCTCGCCTTATTTGCCCAAAATAGTACCACGGAATATTCTAGTCTCCTCCATCTGGTAGTACAATCTAGAAACACTTTCCATACAATGCTCTATTGTTCCTCTACTCATCATGGAGCCACCTAGAAAGTTCTTCCTTCACCTTCAGTGATCATTACCCTTGTGCATTGTAATCCTAGCCATCACAAGCACAACAGAATACCGTCCTATCCTTTTTCCGATCGCTCAATCCTTTCGCTGACTGCTGTCTCAACTTCTTCTGTAAGCCGGAACTGTTCGAGCCAGCCGTTTGTAAGTATCCACTCTATAATTCTCTTCATGTCTTCCGGGCTGTTCATCATAGCTTCGAAAGACCTATCTTTTGCCCGTTGCAGCACCTCTCCTCTTCCCTTAGACCACTGAGGAGAAGCCATGACCATATGTTTCACGTTTTGTGACGGATATCCACACTGGCACTTTGGATTTGCCACTCCAGGGACCTTTCTTCTATAAAGATAAGAGTTGAGGCCGATATGCTCACTTCTCATCTGTATTGCAATACTACTTTGGGCCCTGCTCAGGTTTCGGTGGATGTTAGAGGGTGTGTTTCTGTAGGTGATTCTTTTTCTACCTGTTCTCTTGTCGGTGCTTATACTTGCTGCTTTCCAAATGAATTATTCTTGTATTTTGTTGTATGATTTGTCCACTGATCTCGAAAGCTTTGATGAATTAGTGTCCCTGCCATGGCAAAGCTAATCTCTCCCATTTCAGGAGAAAGATATGATGCTTCCTAGGCAAATCTATCTGCCTCCTCATTACCTCCTATGCCCAGATGATCTGGAATCCAGTTGAGATTAATGGTTGAGTTTTTGCTTTGAATAATCCTTGCTGCTGCTACAGCTCTGAGCTGACAAGCCTGTCCTGGATTATCTGAGGGTTTCTTAAGTCTATACAGGGCAGCCTGATTATCTGAGAAGACCTGGAAGTGTTTGTTGTCCTGCTCTTGCAGAGTTGCCCACTCCATGGCATGAGTGATGTCTTCTAGCTCTCCATCAAAAACATGTGCCCCATTTTCTATGTTACTCTTATTTTGGTATCTGGTTCTGCTGCAGCTCCCAGTAGCTACAAAGCTTAATACAACACCTGTGCTGTCTGCCATTAGTGAGACATCAGTGCAAATGAATGCAGTGGAGGACCAGTCAGTCTATTGAAGCAAAGATTGATGTCTCTCTGCTGCTTCATCCTTTTGTATCCTCTCAATTGTGACTATGTAAGGGGGATCCTGCCCCCATGGTTTGAATTGAAATTGTTTTACTGTCTCCGTTTCATGAAGGTTAATGAGATTCTTAATAGAATGTTTAATCCTGTCTAGCCGGGTAGGCTTAGGTAGGACAAGCTCATTTGAATTTTGTATGTTTAAAGGGTGATATTTGGATAGTTTTGTAAGCCTGAAGGCAAACTGCATTAAATTTCTTTGAAGTCTGACCCTTGGTGGTGCCAGAGCTGCTTCTATTTCCATTGGAAGAATAGAGGCTGTCTTGAAGACACCAAGTATCTTACGGAGGGCCAGATTCTGTATCTTCTGGAGTGCTTTTACTATGTAATCCTGACCTTTCCACCAGATGACTGAGCCATAGTCAGCAATGCTGGCAATGACCAGGGGAATACATTGTACCTATGAAGCATCATTTTTCTTCAGCACGTTGGTCTTTAACTGGCCGAAGAACAGTTACTACATCAAATTTCATTGGTTCTAATATAGAATTCAGCTGATGTGGACATATGATTTTCGAAGGTGTACTGGGCTTCAGATACAGCTACAGTCCTATCCCTGAGGGCAAATTGTGGATGAGCGGATCGTTACCTGTTAGATCACGAGACGGAGCCTGCTATAGGATTAAAGGATTATGTCTATAGATAGGCGAATATGCCACAAATAGAAGATATGAATCATAAGATTTATCTTTCACACACACAGTTCTTCAACCTTGTCGACCCCCACTCGTACTCAAGTTAATGCAAAATATTCCTCATCAACACTCACAAACCCAATTCAAAGGAAAGGAAGTTCCTGGTGGAACCGAGCTTGGCACAACGGGACATGGGGTGAATTCTAGGATGATAAAGTAATAAAGATAAGGCGAAGTTCTTTGTTCTACATTTAGTGGCTAGCCTAGTCTAGTCAGGCCTCACTCCATCAAACTCATTTCGAGTGCGGGGATTGATTGACACGTGACATTATTGGCAAGGGAGAGAACCAACAACGTGAGACATAGATGCTGTTGGTCTGGAGGCTAAGACGGCTAGCACGTCATGTCTAGCCCTGGACACGGATTCAGTGCAGGCCTACACTAGCTCATCATGCAGTCCTACACCAGCCGAATTGGTCTCAGTTACAGAATTGAAGTTGCACTAATATCTATCCCACTCAGTCCGGCAGCGCTACTTCAATACCAACAAACCTCATCCTCATTTGGCCCAACACTTGCGTACAGAATATTGTAAGCATACTCTAATGACTGATGGTTCTGAAACTTCTCTTTGGCAGATACTCAAGAACGAGAGTTAACTTTATTATGTAAATAAACATTCGTTATGGTAGTGCCCTATAATGGCATATAGAGCAAAATAGTCTCTTATTTCAAATTAGTCATTTAGTAAGTATGCTAGACATTGATATATGCTACTCCTATTTAGTTGAAGCTTCGTAAGACATTTGGAAGATAGGAGGTGACTATATCGCCACCGCCAAGCTTAGTGATGATAATCTTATGGAGGTGGGGGTAAAAGTCGCATTTGTCTTCCTTTAGTCATTCTTCGAAGTGTGGAATTCTTTATGGTGTTGACGACAATAGATCAAGCTAGTTAGCAGCATACGCAATCCATATCTGATACAACTAAGGGGATCAACTACAGTCTACGGGTACTAAGTCGTCCGAAAATCGAATGTCCGGCATTCATGTAAGATTCAAATATGAGAACTAAGCTAAGCTGTTTTTAAGTCCTGCATGTCAAGTCTGTCGTGATTTGTTACGTTCGAAAGACTAGAAGGCTATAATTTTGCATACTCCTAGTTGGAAGGGGCTCAATTTAGGGTGTAGTGCTATTTGCATGACAAACTGTAAATGGCAATCTGAGTTGAATTGTAAATCCTAGTGGCAAGGTAACTACCCCTGCTCGCCGAGTTAGCTTGATCAATTGGTTTTGCAGCTCAGACTTTTCGCGGCAAAATATTATTCGCAACTAATACAAGCCAAGATCCCCAGCAGAAAGGTCGCCATATCTAGTTACCGACGTCTTTATTTGTGCGAGCGAACAAAAGCTGTGCCCTCTCGTTGAAATCTAGCTATCGACGCTCAACTTAAAGCTTTCCGATAATAAGACAAGGGGAGCGTACGATACAACAATTCTCGCCCCTAACACTAAATCGTATTTGTCACTCGCGTATTCTAGCCGTTTACTAAGCACTTACATCAGCAATTAATGTCCCCATAGACACAGCACATGCTTCATCCCGGGGTTAACTCGAGGCTGCGTCAAGGAATTTGCACGATTAATGGAAGAAGCGACGATGACTGTAACGCGGAATTTCCCCTGCAGGGGATAGCATGGAGGAGGAGATATTCTGGTTGACTTTGCTTCTCTACTCCAAAACTCAAGTGGGACAAGCATCATTTTTCTTGTGATTTGCAATCTGATCAGTAACATTGGTCCTTTTTGAAGCCCTTATGTTAACGTGAGCAAGTATACTGATGCTATTTAGACGCCGGAGTCGTGTTCTCGTGACTTACTCGAGGCAGTACATCTGTAGTATAGCGAACCAAAGCCAACGTCTCCAAATCAACTTCATTTAATGTCAGTGTTCAACATATTGACCCGCCCATACAGCTCTCAAGTTACATCACTCTCAACTATCCGTTTCTAGATGTGAATTTGTTCTAATAAGATCAACTGATACAAAGCATTGTTTAAGACTGGAAGCACAACTTACCTGTTGCCCAGAGGGTCCATTACAATAATTTCATAAAAATGTCACCAGACTTAAATACCTTTGCAGCATCGACAGAGGAGTCTATTTGTCACCCTGCTCGTAACCTCACCATCACTGATGCTGGAGACCATGGAGCACTCGATGGACGTGGCTCGTCGCCTCGCTCCACATCTACCTCCCTACAGGCTGCAGCGGCAGTTAATGCAGGGCTGCAGCACGAAGATTCTGGACGTATGTCGCCTCTAAACACAGATATAGACCTTGAAAGATGAGATAATTGAATCACAATTTCTATCTTCAAAAATTTTCGAACCATGATGACTAACTTTTCTCTAGATTCTTCCACCAGGAACAAAGAGCCATCTATCTCCCTGACAAATCGAAGGCGCTCAGCTATCATGGCAAATCTGCAACTAAACGACCCAACAATTCCTGCCCCCGGTGAAATGATTAGTGAGGATTCGTTATTCCCAAACTCTCAGACAACAACTTCTCCAACTTTTTTGCCACGAAGCTTTCACGGTGAACGTGTACCAAGCTTGGGCCAAATACACCAATCAATAGAGGAGGAGCAAGAGGCACAAGTTGTAAGAATAGAAGTCAGAAGAAAGCTCGTGGCTCACTTATGATTACAGAACCGACTTCTTCAAATGATTTCAAGCCAGCAACAACATCTACGACAACTCCAAGAAAATAGAATTCACAGTTCTTCCATTGCTCCTCATGAACAGGCTAACAATTCATCTGAATATTCTGTTACTATTCCTTCTACTAGCAGCCCTTTTCCTAATCTGCGCTCCCCTGCTTTAAGTCTCCCACGAAGCCCTATGGATCATTACCGGACGGATTTTCGTCACCGGATCCCTGCATCTCAACAAGAATCAGTTTCTCCTAGATTAAGATCTATCTCAAACAGTAGAGAGAGAGAGAAATCCTGGGTGTTAGGCTGTCGTGATGAAAATGCTTTTTATCAAGCAGAAACCCAAATAATGATTAGAGAGAATCAGATGTTACGACAAAGGATCAAGGAGCTAGGTATGTCACAACCTAATTTCTCAATGCGCGGGCACTGACTTATATCACAGAGCGTCAACTACATGATGTTGGATTGAATTCTCTATCGCACGAGCCTACCACACCATCACAGTTACTCATATCCGAGTCTACACTTGAAAATTCGGCGCAAGGAACTCCCGAAGAAAATGCAATGATTTTAACGCAATAGATCATTTAAAGAACAGGTGGACCGTACAAAACTAATACGGCCCTAACAAATTAAGTATATTTTATTTTAGAAATCGTTTAGGATTGTGTGAACATATTTAGTGCAGACCAAGGTAACTACTTTTAGCCGCATGTTGATTAAAGGAGTAGAGAGGTGGAGTTATAGAAATTTTAGAACAGAGCTGATTGGAACCCTCATGCTACAATAGTTTGTGTGTCCTGCAGGCAAAACTCTCAGATATGGTTAAAAGAACGAATGATATAGAAGATTTAATTTTTGCTTCAGCCTTGCAGCCCCGCTGATGTCATGATCCCCGTGACCTGTCTATTTAATAGTTGTGGCAACAGTGATAACTGAGATCAATTATCCTATCCGTGTGCTCACTTTCACGTTTTCTAAATGATTTTTGCCAGAGTTCTGGGAGTAAAAAGAGCTTTAGACTGTCGGTACTTCACATGCAGCGCAACAAGAGTCGCAGATTACACGCATGCGGTGTGCTCCTCGTGCTTTTACTTCTAGGGCAATGTTAACGATAACAGATAGTTGGTGGTGGAGTGGTGGGGTTGGCTATTGCACGGCAGCTAGCTACTCGCGTTGGAACGAGTACAGTTATCCTAGAGAAAAATCCAGCGATAGGTCTGGAAACTTCTAGTCGAAACTCCGAAGTGAGCCTCATTGTCTCATCACGCGTGATCTCATTCTAATGTATCAAGGTTATTCATGCCGGCCTCTACTACGGCCCAGAATCTCTCAAGACTCGTCTCTGTATTCGCGGCAAGCAGTTACTCTACGCATTATGTTCTACCTATTCAATACCGTATGCTAGAATAGGCAAGTGGATTGTTGCTCACACTGAGCAGCAGCAAGAAGAATTGGTAAAACTTTATAAGTTCAGTCAAACCCTTCCTGATGTGCCAACGCAGTTTATCTCTCAAGAGCGTGCGTTGCGCGAAGAGCCATTTGTACATGCACCAAATGGAATTTTAGAGTCTCCTTCAACAGGAATAGTTAACTCACATGCATTGATGCAGTTCTTGCAGGGTAATTTCGAAGAGAATGGCGGTGACCTCGCAATCTGCAGCTTGGTTACGGATATTGAGGCCCTCGGCGAGCGAGGCAGCAGCGGATGGGATATCACCATTCTGGATCAGCGCAGTGGCAAACGGAGTAAATTTTCCAGCGAAATTATTATCAACTCTGCAGGTCTGGGGGCATGTGAAGTTCACAATCTTATTCTACCGCAAGCACAACATCGCCAGCAGTTCTACGCCAAAGGGAATTACTTCAGCTGTACTCGCTCCCGCCCGCTAGCTTCCCGTCTCATTTATCCAGCGCCGGAACCTGGACTCGGTGGTTTAGGCACGCACTTGACGCTTGATCTATCGGGTGGCATGCGCTTTGGGCCGGATGTCGAGTGGGTCGAGAGCGTGGCGGACTTGAGCGTTAGTTTAGAAAACCTACCACACGCACTCAAGGCGATCCACAAGTTTTTGCCGGCCCTCGACTGTGATACCATTGTCCCGGCCTATGCGGGGATCCGTCCGAAGTTGGCCCAGGGCGCAGCAGCTGGGGCAGGGCCGGGCTTCGTCGATTTCTATATTCAGCTCGAGTCTAATTGGGTTGGATTTGTCAATCTACTCGGTATCGAGAGTCCGGGGCTGACGAGTAGTTTGGCTATTGCTGAATTGGTGGAAAGTTTCCTCTATGGATCTCAGGCCAATCTTGGACAAGGAACCGTAGGGCATCTCTAGTTCGACTAGTCCGGTCTGAAAATTCGATTAGCTATTTGTGCTCTTTGCCTCGATAGCCTTTGACACCCAAGAAAGGGGTTAGCTCTGGCGCCAAGTGGATCGACCGTTTTGTTTTCGGGGTTGCGAGTTGGTACCGGAGATGTCTCCTCCCACCTAGCTTCCCGTGCTAGTTGATACGCAAGATGGTAAGTAAGCTATCTCATTCACTGTGGTGAGAATTCATTCCACACTCCTTAAAATAGGAACATATCTAACTCGCTCGTGGCGGGGCAGACAGCTTGGCCTTGAAGAGTGAGATAACTTTGAAACGGCGGACAATGCTAAAAGGTCCTACAGGGGAAGATCTTTTGACAAGGGCTCCGGGATCCAGAGAGCGACCAGCCTGCATTGGTCCTAAATTAGCCGGGAAGGAGGTGCCCCGGAAAGGCAGGGACATGAGGGTGGTGATCCACCCAGCTTAGGATGCTCTCCGTTACCCCGCCGCTGAATGTGCAGGTCTTCGGAAAGAGTGGATCACGAGACAAGTCACGCGACGTAGACCCACCACCAACCATGGAGTTGTACACGAGCCGAGGGGATAGCTTGGGACCCCAGCTTAGGATACATTCTCATTCATTTCTCTAGTTTAACGTCCTATGCGATATCTATATACAGATCCATGAAGACGGCAAGCCGCTTTGGTGAGAGATAAAGATTTAAAACAAAACAAAAACCGATGTCCTGCCACTCTAAACCGACCCGGCTTAATGCTGTGGACGTACCTTTCAACCACAATTATTTAAACTTTCCCCAGAATTCGTTAGCTTCCCCCTCAATCAGACTAGAGTTAGGAGAAATTAAAAAGAGAAGGCACCTCCTGACTCGGTGTTGGTCGTCGAAGTATCCGAGGAGCTGGCCCCGATGGTGGTGCTGCTGTCGAGGCGATGGTTGGTGCCGCTGGGGCTTCGACTACCTTGCGTTGTGGCCCGGCCCTCTTTTGAGTCCTTCAGCCTTTTTACTGGTGACCAAAGTAAATCCCTGATTATCTGTCGTTCCAACTGTTCGCACTGGCGCCATGGTTGGTTTTTCATTCCATCTTCCGCCGTTCTCGATAGCAGCTCCATCCGAGCCTTTCCACGCGACGCCTGGCTGTGTCCCCACTGGCTGCAGTTATAACACTGCTTTGGCTGGGCTCGTGGTGACCACACCTGAGCGGTGAAGAGTATGGCGTTGATGACAAGGCCCTATCGAACTACCTCCGTTTGTATCGCCTCTGATAGGAGGCTGACCACAATTGATCCGCGATTGCAACCGTTTTCCTTCGATCGCTGGTGTTCCTTTCCGTCATGGAGCCATCGTATTTTTTTAATAACTAGGCCTGGAATACGTGCCTTCATTCTCTTACATATTTTTTTCATATTGTATTAAGCTAGCTAGTTATGGCAATTTATATAACAAAATCCATCTATCCTACTTATTCTTATATAACTCCTTGATATTTTTCCATCTACATTTCCTCTATTTCTTGTCCTAATTAATCCCCTTTGTGCAAAATTATGTACCTAGAAGTTTTCAAATATTCAAGTAATGCTTCTTTTCCTCTTTTTGTTCTCAAAATTATTGGAAAATTAAGGGGCTCTCAATTTTTTAATGTGTTTTTTCTTTTCAAATGTCTGACCATGGAGAATTAAGTGTTGCATGATTTGTTTTCCCCTATTGCAGAAATTGCAGAGGCTATCTTTTGTCTTTCCAAATTTGTGTAAATAAGATATCACATTTCCAATGCCAGTCCTCACTTGAAAATATGAAGATTCTACTGCTCCACTATGACCTTGTAAATTTAGTGGATGAGTAAAATATATTGGTGTTGTCATTTGGGCCTGTCCTGTAAAATTTGCTAAGCCCAGAGCTATTTCTCTCTTCTTCTTCACCATGGAAGAGTTCAGAGGTCCCATCTTGGATCCAAGCTTGTAAAAGCAGCTCCCAGCCCTTTGCTTTAAAAACTTCTCCTTCATACGCGGCTTTTGTAAGTTGGTGCGGCAGGATCATGAGATACGAATGCCGGCAAAAAATGACGGCGAAAAATAGAATCAAGGCTATTTTCATTAGATTACCACGTGCAATCTATTCTCACTCTCATTTCTATACTTTTCGACAATTGAAGCTTCGAGACCCCCGTTACCCGCCCTGCAGTACGGGCCAGGGCCTGCTCGTGAACTAGTATTGGAGAATTGACTATTCAAGGAAATATTTAATCAGATTGAAACTGTATGATGTTTGTAGATGACTTGCGCCAGATTGTTAAATGGTGAGGGACACTGATGGATTATTATTAGTAGTAGTGAAGGCTTGAGCACGGCCATCTCGGACGTTATTCGGGGAACGGAGCTCGGAGCCTCGCCGCGCTCTCAGGCCACACAACCGCCGCATTGGAGCGGGGATCCTGAATATCGCCACGTGATAACAACGACGTGGCCCTTATCGACTCCAACTCCTCTCGCTTAAATGACTAAGATCGTCTTACAGGCTGATTCAGCAGGTTCGTCTGATTTCACAGTCACGGAAATAGATTCAGGAGACTGCTTGATAAGGGCCTGGCATTAATTATGGTGTTGTACGGTGGAAGGCTCGTCTCAGCCATCAGAGGGCTACAGCGTCATCTATAGAGTAAATCCCCATTTTCCATCTATCATAGCCCTACGGCATGTAGCATGCAAAACACGAGCCGTATCATGGCTTTGGGGCTTGAGATTAATCATGCGTTTTCCCGCTTGAGTCGCATGCCGGCTCAACGTGCGACACGCCCAGCTCTCAATCCAATAACCCTCACCAAAGCGAAACTACTCACGGCCCTAACCATGACCCTATGAGTAGTTGGAACAGTAGCCTGCAACCCAACACAATTCGGCCAGACACTGTTGACTAGGGTCTAATTCGAAGCGGCCTTCTGGCCAGGTTTCGTAGTTCTAATTTCTCCCAGTTATGGACGTTTCTCTGGGCCCGACGCTTGTGGATAGAGCATGTCTCTGGAGTGAAGGTAATCATGCTGCACCAGGCTATTGGCAAAGCACAGAGTAATGCGATTTATGGTTGCTGTGATCAAGATACGAGTAGATATGGAATGTTGGAATGGCTAGGGATAGAAGGGAAAGGTGGATAACGATTATCGGAGCCTGATGATATGATGAATAGCTTGGTATTAGACAACCTGCATGTCATGTTGGTAGATTGGACTTATATACACATATTTGGTACCTACTACATAGTACATCACCGTCTGTCCGGGATTTGCTACAATCACAGTTCATGCCATACTACCTCCGACTACTTTATGCCATTGTGTGAAGCTGCGCCCTCATAGTCGAATGTAATGATGGCTATGCAGGGCTGTGCAGTCCTCGCATAGATATACGGCATCCCTGAGAATAGGTAGAGATATATTAATAGTAACGGCAATAATCACATCACAACAACAGCTCGTCACAAATTCGACGTTGCCTTGGCCTCAACTGCTCCGCAAGTCTCTATGCTTGTTGATGAGTTTTGTCGAAATTACGTTGTCCGATTCTAGAAATCTCCAGCGTCTTGGTACCGCATCTATAAATTTCACATCATTGGCAGCCGTTTCACCCGGTAGCCTTCGACCTCATCAACTCCTACTGGTAATTAAGGCTGACTAACCGATGAATATGGTATGCGTCGGTAGTGCAGAGAGTCGGTGAACATCAATCTGCGATCCGTATCTCTATGTATCACTGATTGTCGAGTACACCATAGATGCTGAGAAGTTAAGGCCCTATCCTGGCCGGCCGCGATAGACCCTGATGGCACGGGTTGAAGAGCGACGTCCCGGCCCAGCAGGCGTCTCACCACCACTACCCTGGTTGGGCTGACAGACGGGATCTACTCGCGCCGCCTGTCCTTGACAGCACCGTTGTCTAGATTATGAGGGTCTAGCCCCACCTCATTTCAGTCCGACATTTATACCACGCATAGATGACTAATGCCGAGGCGAAATGTGCCCCCAGTGCTGCATGGGATAGGCCGCTTAGCTTCCATATGCAAGAGAGTCGATGTTAGGATGTGGATGCGTATGCGGTCGAGCCTCGCGTTCCATCTTTTGCAAGCTCATAGGAGATGTGAGCAGGGAGTGTACAGACTCTCGACGGTTAGCTGGCCGGATAGGGGAGCTTGGTCATAGATTCCTGCCTCTCACGCTCATTAACCCCAGTAATGCCTACGGTCTACGCCGGCTAGCACGGATATTCCTCATTTCCCATCCCCACTCGCGTAAGAGTGCTCTGGTAGGTTCTAGTCTGGCTACCCTCGCCTATATCGCTGGCAGGATGTTTGAGAGAGCAAATAGACTCTTGCCGTAGGAAGATAAGAATGTACTGGATAAATAATTTTCATGGACCCGAGTGATTTCTCAATGGACAAGGGGAAGCATCAGCGAGAACCTATAAATGCTTGACTGATCGTAAACCTAGAAAGCCGTCAATCAAGGTACAACTAGCACCACTAGACAAGTATCCATTGATTCCTATACGCGACCTAAGATGGCAGGCTTATCTTACAGCGACACGATTATTGCCGGAGGTGGAAGGCATGGAAAGTTAATTGACGTGTGGACGAACTCTAGACGAGCTGGCTGAGCCTAGATGGCCGAACTCCCGCCACGCAATCACATGGACCGATGGCAGACTCCAGGGCCAGCCTGCACCCTTGGGCCAATGCTACTTCTGCTATAAAATTCTAGGAACAATGACAGGCTAGCATCTAGCAGCTGAGCTAACAAAGCGAACCTAGCCTGCGAAGCTTGTCTGGAGGAGTGGAGCTTGGTGGCCATGATTGAAATGGGAGGAAGTCACGACAGCAATATTTGTCGGGCAAGAATAGGCCGCAGGTAGAGGCAGTGACGAAGTCGAGTGTGAGCTGTAGAATTGCAATAAGTATGAAGTCTTCGGGCGTGAGGAGGCATAAAGATTCACGACACATTGAAGCAAGGGGTAGGGCAAAGGCTACAGGTTCCCTGGTTCAAAGACATTTATTCCTGACACTGGAGCATGAGTACGTACTCTCGCGTACTATGTGCGAATTGAATCATATCCTTTTCCCGCAGCTCAAGATATCGACGGGCCGGGATTTGCTGTTTGTTCAATAGGGTGCCATTTGCCGAGTCGAGATCGAGGAGGTAGGGGCGCACGCGACCCCGCCGCTCTCCGAATTCGTTGGTCTTCTCGACGTAACGAAACTGCAATATGGCGTGCTGCTTGCTAATGCTCGGGTGCTCAGCGAAAATGTGAGAGACTGAGGCTTCGCGCCCGACGCGCCAGAAGCTCTGGCGACTGAGGTCGATGGTTTCAAGGATCTCGGCGCCCTTGAATGCAAAGAGCTTCCACTGATACTTGGGTGCGGGTGCGCGCGCGTCGGAGGGCTCGTGGTACTTGAGGACGACGGTGGTGCCGTCGGCGAGGAGGGTAGAATTGGACTCGGCAGCCAAGAGGCCACTGCAAGCTAGGTTGGGCTTCTCTTTTGGCCCGTCAGGAGCGGCTGGAGCCGCATGGCCACCTTGATGACGAGTTTGTAATGATTTCTTTGGGGGCCGTAGTGGCACGTGTCCGGGCGACGCCCCACGACGAGCTCCGGCCGAGCTAGCACGCAGGTCGCGAGGCTGACGTCGTTGATCAATATCGTTTTCGTGTCTCGGTCGGCTCGTGTTTCGGCCTCGCCTTGATTCGGAGCGAGGACTGCGAGACCGTCGGCGTTCATAGTCCGCGTTTCTCTTGGCCCCGTGGTGTGTGGTTCGCCGCCCTCGAGATTCTTCTGACTTGCTACGCCTTCGACGTCTAATTTGTCGCTCTTCCTCGCACTCATCGGATTTGGTGCGTCCTTCGCGTCGATGCTGCTTCCACTCTAGAGTTTGCGTGCCCATGATGCGGTGATGTAGGAGTGTGGTAGAGGTCTTGAAGCGTGGCCACCGAATCGAAGCATGACTAGGATCGCTAAGGATTATCACGGGATCACGCGTCATTCTAGACGCGGCATCGCCTACGCTTTGCGGTGGGCTGACTAATACTTCTATGCGCCTGCAGCTTCCTCTGATGCGATTGAGAAAGCACTCTCAACGATATTTCCTTTTGGGATAGTGATATTGCTTCTCTTGGGTCGACGTGCCACACTACCAGAATTCGAAGCGCGGAGAAACCAACCAAGGCGCTCGTAGGCTCAACTGCTTAGCACATACGCCTTAGCTTACCGCACCAAATCACTAATTATTCTCTGGTCAACTATTTCATCGATAGAATACGACTAGTGTTCTTCATTCCCATCTTATTGCCGCCATAAGTAATTCTGACCGAGATTAGAGGCATTCTGCGACGCGTAACACGAACACTTCATCTGGGTGAATGGGAAGATACGTCCTATGAAGAGTGTCCAGCCGGCAGTGGTAGGAGGGATAGACGCTGGCCGATGGAAACCATGGGGGCGAGCGATGGAGGAGTGGTGAAAGGGAGCGCATCCCTTTGGAGGATAGCAGAAAATGCCGGGTCTTTCCACGTTTGATGTGGCACTTACGTGTAGGGGTCTCTGGAGGGACATCTATTCTTTGGTAGGAGATCCCTGAGTGTGCGCCAATCCATAATGTCTCGATCCAAACTGAAATGGGCAGTACAAACTTCTTGGACTTGTGGCGTGTGCTGACACGATATCAATTCCTCTAGTCCTCATGAATAGGAAGATGAAGAATGATTGTTCGAGCATCGGGCCCTCTCTTTACTGAGTAGGAATCAACATATACTTGGTGACTGGCTTTTACTTTCCAGCCGTGTGATTCATGTTCTCGCCATAAATATCAGGGTGGTTTGAGAGCTACAAGGACTGAGTGCCGTCTACAGAGGTTCTCCCCAAACTTTCTTTTCTTTTGAATGATTCAAGCAAATTAAGTTATCTTGATATAACACATGATTGATGCTATGTTTACATTTTGGATGCCGTTTTTGACATTAGAGACACTTAAACTCTAGAGTTCATTCGCAAATAACACTTTGAGGTATGTTTGCTTGCACAAACATTCGACCCTCCTCTGTGAGTACTCGCCAAAGAGACGTTTCAAAACAGTTTGTAACCCAAGCAAGCCTTCATCATCCATACAAACCAGTGTCGCAAGAAATTTAGCTGTGTATTTTCGGATTTAAACTAGCGATCTTCTGTATCAAGTGGGTTATGTGAACAGGCCATTCAGACTCAACATAGGAGACTGGCCCAATGATATACCACTGCAACATCCAACCATAAAGGTATTTATAGTGTCGCCTGGACTCTATCGGATGGGCAATGAATATGTAGGAAGCTGGTGACGAAAACATGGGCCAGTTGACCTAAAGACCTGAGTCTGGCAACGAAGTGAGAGCGACCACCGGAACTGGCCTGGCTCAGATGAGCGCATCACCACATTACATCAGCTAGAGCTGGGCACAGGAGTGGATGGATTGCAAGTGTATGGAGGGGACATGCCAGAGATTCCAGCACTATCTAGGCGTCAGGGGATGTTGCAATGGGAGAACGGAGATGGCAGGGATTTAGGCTCGTCGGAGAACAAACTTGAAGGAAAAATGTTGTGAAGAGGGTGGCCAGGCGCAGGAAGCCAGATCAAGGCATTCAAAGTTTCTTTTTATTTCAGTCATGTAAATATTCTAGCGGTTTGAAGCCAGAAATCTGGTGGTAGAGCATGCCCTGAGAGTTCATATCCGAATCAAGCCTCATGCAAAGACGGCTTTGGCCTGGTAGGTATATTCATTCAGATCCGACATCTATACCCGCTAGAGCTCTCAGACTCCTTATTTTACTAATATCACTCCAGTGCATGGTAATAAACAGAGCCCAATCGCTTGAGCTTGCCGACTAAACTCCCACTCCAGCAGCCATCTCACTCGTCCGCGGGTGACTATGGTTCCAATGTTGCGCAAGCGACTGTCTGCCACTCCGGCGTGTTGACGGCCAGTCGCGATGGGGTCCGGCCGAATGTGCGTCCGTCTGGACGACCCCAGATGTTCTGGCGCTCGACGCTGCCTCGCGGTCGTGCGGTGCGAAGAAAGTTAAAAATAGGCGCCGACGTGACGGGGGTGTTTGTCGCAGGTTCTAGGCCCCACATCGGCCGGCATTAGACTTTTTGCACCCTAGAAATCGGCAGAGCTCGAGGCGTCGGGCTTACATGTAATCGCACGTTAATGTCCTTCTACCACCGTTGCCGCCATCGATCAGCATAGGACTGCACTCACCTGGCCACTTTGTGACCTGACTCTCAACCGTGGAATCACGTGCCTGGACCCTGGGCGGGGAACAAAGGTTTGGAGCATCTGCATCCCATGCATGTCCAGCCGCCTCGGTGCCTGAATCAGCCGGCTATGACACACACGTGACGCATGAGCTGGCCGGAAACGGAAACGGAACGCGACGCATCATCGTTGTTCCGCCGACATTAGGATTAGCCCCCAGCCGGCCATGGCGTCTCGTTCTCCGGATTCCTCACGACAAAGGTCGGCGCCGTCTCTATGAGCTCTATCGACCACTGCCCTCCCCTCCGCCGTGCCCCGGAGCTCTTCCCCACGACATGTCTGAGTCGCGCCGTCTCTGCCGCGTCTTGAGCGCGGTCAAGAGAGACAAGACACCTTTCAAGGCTTGCCAACCCTCGCTGCCCTTCCATTCTCCTTCCATTTCTCTTCCATTCCTCACCGCCCACGCCGGCAGCCCCGCGGTCCCAAGCTGCGCTGGGAAAGGTGAGTGACAGGCCGGATCGAGGTCCGAGGTAACGTTGTCGTCACGTTGGGGCCTGGCAATCCTCGTTTCATCAGACTGCCGTCTCACCTTTGATCAGGTTAATTTGGGATTTGGTCATGCAGCCTCTCCATTCGCCTCTGCCGCCTCGGAAACATTGTAGCCGAGGCGGCAGTCGCTCGTTTGCACGTTGTTTAGGCTTCTGTCGCTCACCTCCAATTTCTGTGTTGACGAGGATGCCCAGACTCCTCGAGTAAGTATCCCATTGTCCACGCGCGCAACTAATGCCCCAGGCTGGTCACCGTCATGGCAGTGGTCGACGATAGTACCATTGCCGCTTCAGATGTCGAATTATCGCTGATGCGCGCACTGCTCACCCATGGCGGTAACCACCACGCCCGTATCCCGCGCTATTATACTACCATCTCAAGGTGGGGAATCCAGTGTGGCTCATGGCTTGTTGCCGGCTGGCAATCATTGTTTAGTCAACAACTGTGCAAACTAAAATTACCTAGTTGTCGACCTCTTCTGGCTCTCCAATGGCCGCAAAGATACATGGCGTCTCTTCGTTCGACTCATGGTCATTTTGCTTCTCTCACTGCAAAAGAGCGCTCAGGTGTGGCCAGAGTACTCTTTGCCTTTACCCCAACGACCGTCTCTCTCCATCCCAAATCAGCAACGGTTTTCCTGGCGAAAAATCTAATGTCTGCATTGTCAAACCATCCAATCTTAAAGAGTCTCACTTAACTCCTTTCGTCATATATCCCCAGATCATTCAAGCCAAGGGATACCCCAGCCCGTTATTTTAGGAATCCCCCGCCCCCTGTCGGCTACCGGATAATATCTGTGTCATGGAACTTCCAGTCCTCTCAAGTATATATACAATCGCTGCGCTGCCATTATCAAGCATATATACAGTCCCACAAAAGAGCCCAGTTAAGCTCGAAACATTTCATACTTCGCAGCCAGCGTTCCAGAGACCAAGAATTTAGACAATTCTTAAGTACAAACTCAATATTCCATCATCTCAGCCATCTTGATTCAACCTTCCAATCTTCATGCCCAAGAAAAATGTCCGATATAATAGTATGCCGTACACCTGCCACTACAGACACTGCCCTACGGACCAGCGATTGTAGGAGTGCCAAGAAAAGGGAGTCTTTGTATCAACGACGCCATTCAACCCTCCGATCCGCAGCGGCTCATGACGCTTCTAGTCCTATCAAATCACCTAAATTCATGCGAGAAGCCCCCATCATTGCTGAGCTCGATGACACTTCTCATATGTCCGTCAAGCCACAAGTCGACGAAAATACGACTCCACACTTTGTCTCACACATAAATTGGAAGCCAGATTCCCTACAAGAGAAACATTGCAAAGAAATCATCAGCTACTTTCCATCATGGCCCCTATCGGAAGAAGCGATACAGGAGACGATACGGCAGACGCCGACGAAACCTAGGCCAGATCTTGTCGGGGATGTGGTGGTGGAAAAACTGGCCGCCATCGAGGCCTCGAACCGAGAGTTACTTTCTCGCGTCGAGGCAGCTGAAGAGTCGACTCGCATCCTCCAGGCGCAAAACTCAAGTCTTCAGCGCAAAATCACTCACTTTACGCGCCACTACAAATCCAATTCGCCCCCTCCAAACAATCGGTCAAGACCGTGTCTCAGCTACTCAGGAACTCATACGGTGCCTACGACTCGTCATCGTCCGAGCCCAAGTCTTTCGTTACCCAAGACTACCTTTAGCAGTTTATCTGAACCCCTTCCGCTCGAGCCAATATTATCCCGGAACCAGCCGAAGAATGCATCTCGGGCCAAAACTTCTAGCAAATCTCTCCCATCAAACGTTAATACTCGTAGCCAGTCCCCACCACTACTGCCACAACAAAATTCCCAGCACGAAAGTGCTACTCAGGCACGACCAAAGCGAAAAGTAACCAACGAATCCCCGTCCGCGCATCACAAGGCAACTACAAAAATCAATACAGCCGTATCGCCAACCTTCCATCCATCCTACATGACGCCTCACTCCTCGCCGCACGTCTCACCGCATGACTTTCATCCTCTCACCTCGCATTCACTTAGCAAAATCTCGAGTCCACTACCCGGCTCGGTTCAGCATCATCAGATCTCAGTCCAGGGCCTGAAGATGCCCAATAACACGCTCAAGATGATCAGTCTCGAAGAAGCGCGGCGACGGGCCCATTCTCTCGATCTCCCGAATCAAGGGGGTCTGGCACCACCGGCATCAGTTAACCAAACAAAAAATATGATGGTAGAAGGTGAAATTCTGAAACTTTGGCAGGATGGCATGTCTCGCGACGTTAATGATACGGAAATTCCGGCTGAAAAAAAGAAGAATCGTCTGCAAGATCTTTTTCTTGGCCGCAAGCGTCTCTCGCGCGATGAGCGATAAAGTCTAATGACTTGCGCCGGGCGGCGTTGACGACAAAGATTCCCCAGAATAAGCTGGTACCGGTGTTGACCCTTGGCCATAAGGTGGCAGGACAAGCCAGGGCTCCCCTCCCACATTCTCCCCACCCTATGCGGGATGAAAACCCGGGATAGAGACGCCCTCATTACCGAGGCGCTATGCTTGATTCCGAGAGCGACGAAGTGCGCGACACCTAGGTAGAAAATGAGGGGCCGCCATCTTGCGATGTGAGTAACAGGCGGTCAGCCTTGGCGGCGAGGCGCCAAGATGGATGGGGGCGCTGAGGTAGATCAGGGTGTTGTAGATGATTCCAGGAGAGGGGAAAGGAGGGATGATACGGGGGTAATGTGGAAGGAAATAAGTTTGGTTGCTAAGACAAGGCGTTCTTGCTCCCTACGTTTCCTCGGTCTCTATTTTCTCACGCGGGAGATGAAAATTCCTTATCTCGTTTATGTGCTATCAGTATGATCTCTGCTTCTTTCTGTGTCTCTGGTGGTAGCGCGGTAAAGTCGGAGACACACAATCTCTGATGACCTGTATTTAAATCTAGTTCGAGAATAGAAGATACATACCTCAACTCAAAATTTCGGAAATTGAACATGAGCTTTAGTAAATATGGCTATAATTCAAGTCTAGGATTCTTGGGGCGTCGCAATCGCGACATCCAGTGTCTGGAGCGGGTCGCCCATACTGGAGATGCAAGGCTTCCTGTCCAGCCCATTGATGGATCCCAGCTTTTCTCCCTTGTAGAGGCCAGTTGTCTCGGGCCCTGGAAGATCTCGCATAACTTGCGATGCCTGCTGTCCGCCCACAGCCACGCGCTTCCGGCTCCAGGGCCAAACGGCTAGAGACCGAGCAAGTCATGCAGCTATTACGAGCCCAATATTAAGCCCCCATCCCAGGCTAAGTTTCAGACACGAGGACACGACTCACGGCGAGACTGGGTCGCTGGGAAGAGTTTGTACGGCAGCCCTTCGGCTAGGACTCGAAACAGATGATTGCGAGTCAGGAACCGGCGCAGCGAGGTGGTGGCATGAAGAGGAACCGAATCGATACCATGTGAGAGGGGATTTGCGTGATAACGCGGATGCATCTGCACACCATTGCCGGAGATACGTGCTCACGTCGCCAGTTTACCAGTTGTAGGGTAAAACCACCGTAGCATAAGCGAGGGGCGGAGGGCAAAGAGTGAACACCTCTCCGCGATGTCCTCTACGAACCTGGGACTGAAATATTATTCCAGAGCCAAGTTCAGTCAAATTTCGCCATACCCAACAGGTTGGCCCACGAGGCAATGATTCGAATTACTCCACCATGTCAATCTTTCACTCCCAAAGAGTCCGATTCTCAACTAAGCTTCATCAAGTCTATAAGTACGACCTTGTACATCCTCGTTTCAATGACCACACCTCTCGTCGACTTTCTCTGGCCTCAGCTGGTCACCAAATACACGCCCACGCCGATATTTATACCCGACGGAGGAAGCAAAGCGTGGCGCACAAATCTGGGAGACAGTTTTTTGGGATGGACGTGGGAGAGATCAGGATAAGTTTACAAGATGATGCAGAAGAGGGATACGTTATCGACGGGCGTGAAATTTCGAATTTTGGCGATGAGTTTCACAAATTGAGCTTTGTGCGCACCAAGTCCTGGTGGTGTTCTCTAGTATAGTCTGAGTAGCCTGGGCACCTACTCCACTTGGGAAAGAAACACCTCAGATCATATTTCGCGCGGAGAAAAGTTGAAAGATGATGGAGGCATGTCTGGATAACTCAGGGTTCTTGAGATTTTCCCCTGAGTGGGTTTTCACGGAAGAGGGCTGACTTAGGGTGAAGAAAAAGCCGCCATAACTTCGCAGTGGTACTTGCAAATGAAATCCGAGGCATGAGTGCTCTTCCTTTACGTTGAATCATCTATTCTGTACTTTTCTTTGATATTGTGTCATAGCTAGATAGCTGCATACGCAATTAAAATCTGATGCAAAAAAAAAAAAAAAAGAATGGGGATGATGAAATAAAAGTGGATCTAGGCCAATAATTCCAGCTTCGAAGCTGTTCGCCCATAAAAGCACCATTTACTAACTGCTACCGTTAATCAGATCGGTAAATGCTTCGTCTGCTGTCGCTTAGAAACGCGTGCTGCAGAACAGGAACAGCACATTCATCGCTCACAAGTAGGCAATCTTCAAGCTCAGCCCGCAACATGAGCAACTTGCTCAAGCGTCGAGTAAAGCTGGCCTTGATCCAGTTAGCCAGTGGTCAGTACATTTCTTCGCCTCTACCAACTCGTCACAATGGAGCAGGGAGCCCCCCTCTAGCTCCCTCGGCCATGAAGTTGACCCGACTACACCTGCTAACTCTCATAATATGTAGGCCCCGATAAGACTCAAAACCTTCAGAATGCCTGGGACAAAGCCGTGCAAGCTGCCAAGAAAGGTGCAAACATCATAGTTCTGCCGGAATGCTTCAATAGCCCCTATGGCTGTGATTTCTTCCCTAAATATGCAGAGAGCCTTCCTCCTCTCCCTTCAGACCAAGAAGATTCAAGTCCGAGCTGGCGTGAATTAAGCGCGCTTGCGCAAATTACTTGCTGTTACATAGTCGCCGGATCAATCCCTGAACTTGAAGTGTCCACGCAAAAATACTACAACACTAGCATGATTATATCCCCATCCGGTCAACTTCTGGCGACTCATCGCAAAGTGCATCTCTTTGATATAGATATTCCCGGCCAGATAACTTTTGAAGAATCCAATGTCCTTAGTCCCGGAAACCAAATTACCATTGTGGACCTCCCGGAATACGGAAAAATAGCCGTCGCCATCTGCTATGATATCCGCTTTCCCGAACTAGCCATGATAGCGGCTCGGAAGGGTGCTTTTTGCCTGATTTACCCCGGTGCTTTCAATACTACCACCGGACCACTACACTGGAAGCTGCTTGGGCAAGCCCGAGCTATGGATAACCAATGCTTTGTTGCTCTCTGTAGTCCAGCCAGGGCTTTGGAGGGCTACCCAGCCTATGGGCATAGCTTAGTAGTCGACCCCATGGCTCAAGTGATTGTTGAAGCTGGCGAAGGAGAAGAGATAATTTATGCCGTGCTTGATGGAAAACAAATTGACGAGGCTCGAAATAATATCCCCCTCAATAAACAGAGGAGATTTGATGTTTACCCGGACGTCAGTCTCGGCCTGATACAGGGAAACTGAAACAAAATCTATAGTCTCAAATAGGACAATTACAGGTGTTTAAACTACTTATTTATCGGGGATTTAGTCTCTCAAGAAATCAGGAAAGAACCTATAAGTAACAAAAGTTCCTCTTGTCATCGAGAGAGTTATGTAAGACTTGTTTTCAATGCATGTCAGATCTGAACAATATGCCCCTATGATTGTCTTCATTTACAGTGCTTTAACGCCAAAGTGCATTGCACCTCCCTCAGAAATGAAGATGCCCGGAGGTAACTTCTAGATTCTAGAGCCAGTCATCACTTCCTATTCAAACCAAAGGTTTCCTATCAAAATTCTTTGTCGTAATCATCTAATAACACAACAAGCTGTATCATTATTATTATGAAACTATTCATACGCTGTCTAAACATTCAACCTATTGTATCTCTATCCTGTAAAACTAAAACCTCTAATGCCAAGGATCTGATCAGAGCCGACTAACTTATCCCTGAATTTACACCAATATGATTTCTCTATTAGACTAAAATCTTCTCTGATTAATTCTACATTTTCAATACCCCAGAGACTTTGCAGAAACAATCTCTTTACTCTTGGTTATACGCAGCCAATTACATTGCAGTTGGAGCCCCTTGACCATCTGATGTTAATTTCAGAGACACTCCTTTTTTAGCATAGAAACCAAGCCAGAGACCTTTCACTCTCTTTGGACCTCACCTATTATCACCATAAAATGTTTACAGAACCCTAGGAACCCTCGGAATCCAAGACGTCCTGGGACTACAATTTGACCGAGCTCAGAGTATTCATTGGTGACGGAAAATTCATAAGGTTGAGCGAGACTCTCAATCGAGCTATGAGATACTTTGGTGCTCTAATTTATTCCTAACCTAAAGATTTAAAACTGTTTAGCTCTTCAAACTTTTTAAAGAACTATAAGGTCCGGATAATTCTATCACAAACTTTGGCGCTTTAAAAAAAAATAACTCGAAAAACTTGGTTTCTATTCGTGAGAAAATCAATTCATAAATTTTGCAAAGTTCTTGAGGAAAAATGTCGGAGAATATCCTCACCAAAAGTGTTTTAGATACAGAAAATTCCTTGACTAAGGCAACAATAACTGCTAGAAACCTGTCAGAAGTACTACGATTACGCGATGCATATCCTAGTATTCTCCCTGTACCTATAATCAAGTCTCAAAAGCTTCTACATTTGAGCAGCAGTATTAGGCCTGACTTGATAAATACGCCTTTTGACGCTATCTCATCCTCAGCAACTCGAACAACTCCAAATTTTAGGCACGAACCCCGATACACAACTACCATTAAGACAAATTTTAGCCTGCCAGGTGCAGGATCTGTACAACATGGTACCAGTCTGTCACATGAAATCGATAATTCCAATGACCATCCTGGCATGAGCTATACTATTGACAATATTGCTACAAGGAATGAGCACCTCAGAATAAATCGTCTTGATACATCTCTTGGCGTTAAGCCACCTTCGCTTATATCTGGTACTTCCAGAAAGTCAGCTCGCCACGGTCTATTAAAGCCTTCAGTAACTGAAAGTCAGCCTGTAGATAACGGTCTACCAATTCCTCCGTTGTTGTCGTCTCTAGAAGCTAGTAATCCTGAAGTCTCGCAGAACACTCGTAGCGAAAATAAAAATGAGTTTCTAATACTAAAAAGTAAGCCTCATGAAACTATTGAATCTCCCGCCCTACCCGTAAAGGTAGAAGGACATCATAATTTAACCCATGATATCGGTAATGAAATACGACTTTATGCTCCTGATGAGTTAACTTACCTTAAGAGTGAAAAGAAAATTGTGGCTAGAATAGAGGGTCTTGCCAACAAGTCACCCAATGAATTTATAGGATCCGAACCTGAGAAAAGAGAGTTACCTAAAGATAGAATAGCCAAATTAAAGCCACATACACTTGCTATTCGTGCCTCCCCAAGTCTTGTCGATATTCCCCCGCCAATTCCAGCGACAGCTAGAAGTCCTCATAGATCTAATGATAAACTATTAGCGTCTCAGCGGGTTTATAGCTCGGTAGAAGAGCCTGATTCTAAAAACTTGGAATCTATTTCCAACACACAAGGCTACTTGCTGGGCTTTCACCCACAAGAGTATCATAAGAATTTCAACGAAGCAAGCCAATACTTAGAATCGAAAAGTGTGTCAAAAACATTACGTCATAAGTCTGACACCGAATCAAAGCTTCTGGCGGAGAGAAATTCGGATGTACATGATAATATCGAGACTCCTCCAGATTTTGAACAGGCTTGCCAGATAAACTTAAATCCGGTATCAAGTAGAAGTGGCTCAGCAATATCATTACCTGTGGCGGCTTATCCCATTGATCAAGGACCTATTCACCAGGAGTATAGTCATTTTACCAAAAATATGTACAGTTCGGCGATAAAGTTAAATCCTGACTCAAAGGCAACTTTTTCTGACTCTCAAGTTAAAGCCATGGTGGCTCAACCTAGCTCGCTTGACTTAGATGCATCAGATACTGTGCCAAATAAGATGTCTCCAAAGCCTAGCCCCAAGCAACAAGAAGGTCTAAAAGCGAGAAATGCTCGTGCAATATCCAATCCCAACACCATACCCGCTAGACACTCATCAAAATGCTTAATTGATGGAAAATTACCAAGTCGACAAAATTCAATAGATGCATCTAAACATAGCAGACCTGGTACATTGAAACCTCTGATAGGAGAAACTTCTATGGAGAAGCAAAAGGTTCAGTTACGGACTTCAGTAGCCAGATCTCCTACGGGGTCTCTGGTGGCAGAAAAAAGTCAAAGTATGATGAATATATTGCTTGCGCGCCAACTAGAGACCGAGGAAGACAAGCTATTCTTCAAAGATGTTGTAAATTGGTTGAAAGATTTAGTCCCCAATAATACCGCTTATGAAAGTCAACTCACCGCAATGCCGCCCCGCTCTCGACCATACGTACAGAAAGCCGAGCCGATAACGGCGCCTGATAAACTGCAAAAAGTTAAAATGCTTTATGATGGTGCTCTTAGCCAGGAGCCCGAGACAATTAAAACAAAAGCACTCCCCTTGTCTGATAAAATTTCTGTTGTAGAACAAGGTCAAGGAGACGTTGACTCAGAAAGCTTCGCGAATACCATCGAAAATCTGGAGACACTTTTGAACGAAGCTCTATTAATTGCCGGAAAAGCTACTGAAAAATCGGCATCAGTTGCAAAAAGAAAACCCTTCGCATGCTCTTATCCCAACAAAATGTCTCGTACTAGCCACATGAACGCTAAAGATCGCTTGAAAAAGAAGAACACTCAAATAAAATCAGCAGTGCCTTTACCTGATACCTACCAGGAAAACTCTGATGATATTAATAATCCAGACCCACTACCGTATAAGATTAATAAGACCGTATACATACCACGGAAGCGACTTGATACCGTATTTTCAGAAGTGTATGCGATGAATGAGCGAGTTGGCAGTTTAAAGCCACCAGAAAATGTGCCTAGCTTAAATATCCCTCACAATTCAATGGAAAAAATGGCGTATGGACTCGAGGAAACCCCTCAAGAGAGCTTCGAATTAACATTACGGCACCTACCTTCCAAAAATTCAGATCAAGAGTCGATTGGACAAGAATCCCTTAGATTCAGCAAAGTTCCATCTTTCAAAGCTCATCTTAAGAAAAAAAATGATGCACACAAAGGCTCTAAGCCATTACTAGTAGGTCTTAGTAACGTTGAAATCGATAAATATTTAGACCATCCTGAACAAAAGGTAAGCCCATAACTATCGAAAAGTCACTTCTCCAAGTATAAAATAGTGATATCACAGTATAATGCTCATCAAACAATTCGAAAATTTCCAATGTCCGACTATTCAACATAAATCTTTCTTTTTAATGGAATTTCAGTAATTTTATATCAGAGCCACGTACTGGACTTAGCTGACATTTATTTGCGCTTTTAGGATGAATTTATAAACATTCCAGACTATCTTAGCTCAAACAAGCAAAAGATTAAAAATAATAATAGTTCCGATAGTTCTATCGAGGTACAAATTGGTACTGACCCTGATCCATGGTCTAAAATAAAGATACCAGAAAATGGTGGAAGAATGAATAAACGTCAATCTACAAGTGCTTTACGCCTTCATAGCCTTACAAATTCTAGCTTGCCACGGCTAAATAGACCTGTCCCGAAGAAGCAGCCGCGTCGTAGCAGAAGAAACCATATCAGCTTAAAAGATAATCAACTTAAAGGATCTGATTTCTTCAATAATTATACTAGGCAGACCATAGCAAGAGATTGGTCGCCTATGCGAAAAAGGTTAGTAGCATTAGTAGCCTGTCTAAGTACGGCACTAATCGGCATTCTCGTTGGTATATACGCTGGAGAGACGCCAGCTATTCAGTACTATATCGTCGACTTCCACCACTATACAGTACTAGGGAATGTTTTCTTTTTTTTAGGTCTAGCGATTCCTACATTTTTTGCTTGGCCATTACCCCTTCTTCACGGTCGTAAACCATATATTCTTGGCGCCATGTCTATTGCCCTGCCCCTATTATTTCCGCAAGCTCTTGCTGTCGGCAACATGAGGTCACCATACGTGTCGACTTGGCGAGTAGGCCTCATTCTATCACGAACTATGATGGGGTTTTTTCTTGGGTTTGCCAATATGAACTTCAAAGCTATGTTGACCGATCTTTTTGGCGCCTCCCTTCAAAGTACAAATCCACACCAAGAGTTTGCAGATAAATTTGATGTCAGACGCCATGGTGGTGGCATGGGCATATGGCTCGGTCTATGGACCTGGTCTACTCTTGGATCTATTGGGCTTGGTTTTTTCATTGGATCGACCATTATTGACACTCTTCCGCCTAGTTGGGGGCTCTATATTAGTATTGTAATAATTGCATTCGTGATGTTGCTCAATGTTGTGTGTCCCGAGGTCCGTCGCTCGGCATTCAGAAAATCTATGGCCGAGGTAGTTACTAAAAACGTACTGTCTCATAGACTAGCTCGTGGGGAAGTTAAGATGCACATGGTCAAAAGTGGCCCCAAGTGGTGGGGGGAAGAGCTTTACTATGGAATTATTCTTTCGAAAAAAATGCTTCAACAACCTGGATTTCTGGTTCTCTCTCTATACGTCGCATGGATCTATGGCCAGCAGGTTTTAATAATTACGGTAAATTAATTTCTATAATTTTAGAGAAAATACTAACTAATTGTCCTTAGCTGCTCGCTGCATTAATGTCTAAGGACTATAATTTTAGATCACCTATAGTAGGTCTTAGTGTCATGGCAATTCCATTGGGTGCACTATTTGCTATACCATTCCAAAAGGCTTCCCTCTTTAGTCGGTCACGTCGCACTCCACCTATTGATGACGATGGTACGCTTTCTAAAAGGAAGATTCACTGGTCCTCTCATATGCTACGACGGGCTATTTTTGTACTTATTCTCCCCATTTTTGGCATCATTTTTACGATATCTACGAATGGGCCTTCTATCCCTTTTATAATACCAGTTTTGAGTGCAGGAGTCATCGGGTTTCTTTCCGGTCTTGCGATGGCTGAGTGCCATGGTATAATTATGGAAACCTTTGATACATCAGATCTTCAACCTGGTATGATTGGTCGTCCTCGTGGCGCTTCTGGTGAGAAGACTGCCGCGAAGCGAACCAATTTCTCTTCATTTCCCAGGATAAATTCTGCTGTCGCTATTACGGAAACTTTCGGGTACATATTTGCAGCTGGAGCAACGGGTATCGGTGGCGTGTTGACCCGGCGTCTTGGTCAGCAGGCAGCAACGGGCGTGATGGCTGGTATCCTTTTCATCTTATCTATACTTCTTTTAATAGTTCTTTTACGATTTACAGAGGTTCAAATCATTCCTGAATCTAAGCTAGGAGAGATGAGTCGGTATCAGGCTCGTCGTGCTTCACAAAAGCGCCGTGATTCGGGGGAAGATACAGATGATGAGCCCTGGCGACCGGTAATTATTGGGAATCCACATCAGAGTACTCGCAGAATGTGTTTGCTTGAGCTTGGATCTCTTTCTCGTTACTCTGAAATAAGGAAAAGGAATCGACTAATTGATAAGATGAGTTTTGAGGCTGCACACCCCAACCGCAATGCTATGGCTAATCTAGAACGAAAAATAAAAGAAAAAGAGGCCGATGTCCGACGTAGCATTATACGAAGCATGTCTCAGAGTTCTTTTGGTAGCCGAATGAACCATCGAAAGAGTGTCCGAGTAAATTATCGAAAGAGTAGCCGAAAGGGTAGTGGAAGGAGTGAGGGTAATGAACATAGTCCCCTGGGCACTTTAATCGACGACCTTGGAAGAGGTAGGCATCTGCAGACTGAGGATTATAGCAAGGATACATTAGGGGTGCGAAGAATAACGGAGTAAACTGTGGAATGATAAAAAGTCCGGAGGCCATTAATTCACAGCAGCATAAGCGCTAAGTATAGGTTTTGAGTAAAAATATATGACGAGGCTCTATGAAGTATACTCCAAGTAAATTGGGGGTGAGTAAAGTAAACTATTTCCGAGTTGGCATCGAGCAAGTTTGGGAAGGAAATTTGATTTTTAAAAAAAGTTTGAAGCTTTCTCTTAATTTGATCGACCCCTCTTATTTGAAATGTGATGGTAAGCCCTAGCTTAAGGCAATGCCCATAAAAATCGGTTTGTTTAGTTGGGACTGATATTGCTTTGGAAACGACGCTGTTGCATCCAATGACGATCTTTACAACCCAAAAGCCCTGATAGTGAAATCGAGAGGACATTAATGGGGCAGTAGAGTCCGCAAGGCTAAAGATCTATTCGATAAGATGGCGCAATACTAGCGGTCAGAAAGGGTGTGACGCTAGTAGACAGTGTATGTTTGGATAGATGTTCTCTTTCTCTCAGCTCCCCGCGTTGCGCGTAGACCAGCTCATACTATTGTTGACAGCCTTTAAAAACTACCAGCATGACCGGCCGTCTCAGGTGGGAAGAAAAATTTATATGAATAATTACATGAAAAGCCATGTATTACGGTACCCTGCAACATAATTCTCTTTCCCGAGACACCAAAAATAATTAGAGTGCTACGGCGCAGTAGAAACAATCTTAGCAAGAATTTCTTGCCCATATGTTTTTCGCCCAAAACACTTTGCTAATGTCCAATATTGCCTGAAAGTTCCCAGCCATTCTCTCCCAGTATAGACCTAGCTTCTAGTGTCGTATGATCTGCCCAGAGGCCCTCCACTTTAGCAGGCTTGGTCGACATTCCTCAAAGTACCGCGGCCGGTTCTACCGGCCACACATGCAATGAAGCTCAGCGTATCTCGCTATTGTGGTGCCAGCCTGGGAAAATTGAGCGCGTCACCCCGCATCATATGAACTAGCTCTTCATTTTCTGTTCGGGTGGTAATGTTGGTTCCGACGCTCGATATCAGAGGCAATAGTTCGTGAGCCAAATTAATCATACAGACTAGCAATGTATTGTGGTTATGAGCTGAGAGGTGTGTAGCAACTATATGGCTCTGCTATCTTTTGGTGCATGGCACGGGTCCATGTGCAACGGTGAGTCGCGGAGATGGCGCGCTCGCGCTGGGTTGCTGGCACGATGGGTACTGAGTGCGTATAATTGTGGCCAATGGGTGTTATTAGGCATCAATTGTTGTCGAAGGCTAAGGATAACTAGCCAAGAAGTTGGACAGCGAGTTGTCTCGAGTCAAACAAAGGGACTGTCCACACGGACGTGGGTTGTTTGCTTCGGTCACTGCTCGCATTCTATACTTGGAACCGCAGGTTATTCTATTCCTAGCGCATGTCTATATTTAGAGATCAAGTCAATTATGATCAATGTATATAGTGCTAGAATTCCGGGAGAAGTAGGAATCAAGCTGTTTTTACTGAGTTATCTTTTACTTTAACCACATACACTCCGCCTATCATAGGTCAGGCTCCCAGTTCCCTGACAATTGTGTAGTGGCACTGACAATGATGATCCAAGAAGGAGATACTGGATGCGCATTCCAACGATTGATAATATCATCTAACGGGTGATGGGAAGAATCGTATTATTTGGATAGATTAGCTGACTGAACTCAGATGGTGAGGAGATTGTAAAGTACATGAACAGCGACCATACAACAGCTTGTATTCTCCACCCTTTGCCAATACAGCAGCTCATCCTCCTTCCCCCTCTCGCCAAAAAATACAAGCGAGCCAGCGCAACACCATGGGCCTAAGCTCCAGTCGAGACCCCCATTGCCCACAGGCTCAATAACGCATCACCCTCAACTACGAGTCCGATCTCCGTGGGTGAGAGTTCATTATCGTTCCATTCTCAGGAAAGGAATATCCAACGCACCGAAGCCGACTTCCCCAGGCTGTAGCCTGACGCGAGCCTAATCAAATGTATATTCTAGTGATGCCTAGGCCGACGCTTCGGGTGGCATCTAGAATCCACCAAAACTAATTGGAGCTCGTGTGATTTACTGAAACCCCCCATAGATCCAAGTGGCGTTGCGGGTGTGAATGACTCGTGAGGCCATTTTGGGGCCCGGATATGGTGGAATTCAGGTCAATCGCAGCTTTATCTGATCGTCATTTGCGAAGTTCTTCCCAGAGTCATGCTAGGGAATGTCGACTTAGCGTTGATATGTAGTTCGTGGGAGAGGCTTTACGCGTCTATGTCGATAGATGTCCATTATTTATAGTACTATCGTCTTTACCGAGGATCAGGCTTTTCATGCACGTCTGATTAAATATTTGCGAGGTCCGACGGGATCGCTGTGTTAGCCATCGATAAGGAGACGTGATGGGACCGAGAGATGATGTTGCCCACGACGAGATTCAACTAGTGGTCGGCGCATATTACAATTGCTAAAGCTACATCTCGTCTGATATGCACAAAAGAATCAGATTCTCGCTCATGGGAGGATTGCACTCTCGTCGTGGCCTTCAGTTCGATCCAGCGTATAATCCGATTTTAACCTGAAGCTGGAATTTGCGTGATCTGCACTGTCGCTCAAGCTCACTGCCTGGCGCCAGCATCCGCTTCGCCGCGGTCGACTATCTTAGTCTCCAAGCATAATGTGGGCTCGCTAAATTTCTCCCAGACACGTTACTTGTATCGCTATTCTCTACTGAAATAAGTCTCCTCTTCTTGGCCCTTTCGGAATTCTCTGCCGGAAAGGTGAGCCTCGAAAGCGGGGGAGTCCAATCCTCTCAAGGTGCAAGTACCGACGCTGGCACAATATCTTAACTTTATGTCAACGTATTTCTATTTGCTGCACGGCCGTGAGCAATCTCCAATGCCGTAGATCCAGCTTATAGGAAGATTTCGCTCTCCATTGGCATTATTAAGATCATATGCTCCAAGGTAAGTGCACTTGATGCGATCATGTCGGCCGTCGCTAGCACTGAACCATCTAGCGCACTAATTGTCACTGGTAACGCGGCAATTCGGAGAGCTATCAAATTGGAAGATTGCTCAAGTCTGGCGTTGATATTCACCAAACTTGATGAGGCCTTGTCATATATCATCGTTCTATCTTAGAGCGGCAGATCGGTTCTCACTCGATGGATTGAGCTTGTATCTGCAGACGTGCAGTTAAACTGTAGCATAACTGCCTGTCTAATACCAATAGTAACAGCCCGCTCCATCTATAATTCACAATAAGTGAAAAGGGCCACCTTTCGACCATCGCTCTCGAATAATCATCCTCGCCTAGGTGGCTACAGGTGTACCGTAGCTTGAGTTATCGGAACTGTGGCTTGGCATAGTCCGTTTCGAACACCCGAAGCCCAGATGTATCTGCTGGCTAGAATGGAACTGCGTAAGGATGTTCATTCCTGAACTCAGGAACGTTGGGGAGAGTTGGTAGTACAGTGTCTGGACCAGCATTGACGAACCGTGCAATCGCTGTTCGTAAATACAATCTTATCGACTCGATAAAGCAACTATACAAATCATCTGAGAACAATACGAAAGCTGCTCTAATACTGCTGATAGTAGTTGAGCACATGGAAATTTGAACCATTTGGCACTTGTCGGCTTCCACGAAGCTACGGAGTTTTGGAGGGTACTCCTGTGCCGAGCTTCTTTCTTTTTTCCAGCATACGTTTGGCGGATGCATTCTCCCATGCCTAAGGAGTCGAATTGGAAGCAGTTTTTGGATTATCATACGTTGTAAAAGTGTTCAAAAAGCCTATGGCCTGTAACATCATCTTGCTAATTAGTTAACTGCCCATTCCCTGTGATCGGGGCCTCTGGCGTCAAGATTTTATTGCTGGGCCCAGCTGAGCCCGTGATATTCGTTATTTTTGGAGTGGAAATATTTTCATCAGTCGCTGTCCGTCTATTGGCTTGGCCAACTATGCGGCGTTTTTAGGACATGACATTCTCTAAACCTACAGTGGCACACGATTAGAAGACAGTTGCTGGCAAATGACGCTAGCAAAGGGAAATGCAAAATTTCGTTATTGTAAACGTTATTGGCTCAATCTTGTATTACAACTAAATCACTAAGATTCTCTTTCTAGGTTCAACCAGAAAAACCGCCCTTCTTATGTGTATCCATGCACGGATCACCTTGGATGCCTGCATAACTAGAGCTGACTATACTTAAATATGCATCCGCTCACAGTTATTATTAAAATTATTTGTTTGTTTTAGAATGTACCTGCTAGGCATTTGGTGCCCTTCGTACTCCTGTGAGAACTCGGGCACAAGTGGGGCCGGGCTGGATCAGTTTACTAAGAGTTAAACGAACCTCGTCCCACCTTAGACTTCACCTGCGTCCTAAATCATTCTAAGCTTAAACATCTAGAGAATCCAATAAAGGTGTACTGAAGCCAAAATTACTCCTTAAGCTCGGCCACCAAGAGCTAGAGCCAATAATACCTTTCTAATTATCTCTTTTCCCTTTGTTCCAGTCTCAGTATTAGCTTCTCCCATCCAGAGGCCATTTTCTTCGTTGAAGACCTCATGCAGTCCACACTAAGCCTCCTTTGTTATTCGTTTTTCTTATTACCCAATCATTTATTCTCCTTAATCCATCTACCGATGTAATCATCTAAGAAACTTTGAAAGATCTCCATCTTTGTAGCGTTACCCCATCGCTGCAGCCTCCTAGTCATGGAGACCCAATATGTGTCGAATTGTTCAAGGCTGAGGCGATGGTGCCTTGGTTTATTTGCAATGCTTTAATTGATGTACCGGTTAAAATTAATGGATATTTCGTCGGTATGACTTTGCAGCAGGGCGGGTTAGTGATACCCATGGCCAAAGTAGAGACGAGTATGATGCCGGTGCTTGGATCGTACCTTCGTAGCGTGAGTTATTTGTAGCGACATGGATGTCCTCCTTTATTTTGCGTTGCGACTATTACTTTTGCGTTATGAATAGCCTTAATAGGTGATGAGATTAGTTTAGCTGGTAAAGATCTCCCAAGAAAATTCTGAAGAATATTGTTAATCTTTCCAATACATAGATTTAACATGTTCGAGCCTGTCTGTGGTTCCTTTCTGGGATGTAAATGTATAGTTTAATTGGTTTGAGCAGTAGTGAGATCTCTGCACGTCGTAATTTCGATCAAAAATTGCCAATCCCATTCCTCCTGATCGCCATCTCGATTTAAACCCCTACAAAACATTTTTCATCGAGACTAAGCCCCATCTCTTGGGAATATTTTACTCCCAGATTCGTAGAAATCAATATTGACAGGTGTTCAGACTCTGTTCTCCTGGTTTGTGCGACTTTGAGTTCATACTATTGGAGCTAAACCATTCTGAGAAAGGTCTGTGCTTCTATTGTTAGACGATGGGTCAGGAGCGAAACTACACACATGCCAATCATATCCCCTTCAAACTTCCAGCTACCACTGCAGAATCTGCAGGGCTGAGATTGAGTAACACCTCTGTCCTCACTTCGACGAGGATTCCCAATCCCTTCCGCGGTCTATGTCGTCTTCATTTATCAACACTATCTTAAAGGCAATTATCGTCAGATCAGATGATAGGGTCGAAACCCTTCTCATCACCAACCCTTGATCATGGAGGAAAAGCCATTCGATGAGCTTCCGGAGCATACCTAGCACCCGATGCGGAGATGGTGGATTGGATCAAGTCGGCCTCGAATGTTACAAAGAAGTGAGATGTAGATGGATATGCGCACCTCATGTGGTCCCGCTGTCTAGGCCTCGCCTGGCTGGGGCTACAGGTTTTTTGAGACTTTTTCCCGCGCACGCAGTTTCCATTGCTACCATTTTTATCTTTACTGAGTAGAAGGTTCCGTGGAAAATGTGGCTGAATTCCATGGGTAAATACGAGCAGAATGGCTATTCATCACGGGCGATATATTAATAATCTCACAAGTGACAAGAGGCAAGGAGTACTGTACAAGGTGTGGCCTGGGCCAGAGAGGAGCTCAATGTGCTAGATATTTATAGACATAAGTAGTATAATAAAAAAATCACATCACATCTGGCCTCAGCTAGCTACCAAATACACGACCACGCCGATATTCATACCCGCCGGAGGAAACAATGCGTGGCGCACAACTCTGTGAAACAATCCTTTGGGATAGGCGTGAAAGAAAACAAGTCAAGTTTGCAAGATGATGCAGAGCAAGGGTTCAATCTCGAAAAGGATGAGATTTTTAATTTTTGCAATCATTTTTACAAACTGAGCATTTTTGGCAGTGCGACTTCGATTGCTGGAGTGCAGGCGACATTTTAAACACCGCCATGGTTAGATGGTGCGGTAGTACATCATCTGGGCCGGTCTACAAAGTAGATTCTGAATAGCTTGGACACATATCCCATATGAGACAGGAGGTTGCTGGTTCAAATCCAGCAAAACATAACGTTTCTCGCGACGCTCGTATGTATGGATGACAAAGGTTTTGAAACTTCCCTTTGGTAGATACCCACACAAGAGGGTCGACCGATTTTATAAACAAACATACCTGAAAATGGTAGGTGCGAATTAATTTAGAATATGTGAGTCTCTAAAGCTAAAATAAATACTCTACATGTATACAAGGCACCAATGATTTGATACAGCTGCAGGTTGAACACACGTTAAATGATGAAATAAGATTTATATTTTTAGTCACGTGTGTATCAACAACGTGGCCTGCTTGATATCCCCAATTATTCTAACTTCTAACCCCCTTTTTTTTTAAATCATTTAATGTATATTGAGCTATCTAGCTATGACAAATGACCGGTGCTATGTATACATATTGGATGACTCTTTTGGCGTTAGAGACATTCATACTCTTGATTTCATTCGCAAATAACACTATGAGGTATGCTTGCTTACGCAAACAGTCAACCCTCCTCCGTAAGTACCCACCAAAGGGAAATTCGAAACCTTTGGTTATCCAAGCATGCCTTCGTCATCCATGTGCACCAGCGCCGCGAGAAAAGTGGTTGAGTTCTGCCGGATTCGAACCAGCGATCTACTGTCTCAAGTGGGATATGTGTCCAAGCTATCCAGACTCTACTTGGCAGACCGGCCAAGACGATGTACCACCGCACCATCCAACCATGGCGATGTTTATAGTGTCGCCTGCACTCTCGCAACCGAAGTCTTGGCACGCACAAAGCTCAATTTGTAAAAACTCCTTGCCAAATTTCAAAATTCCACGCCCGTCGAGACTGTATCCATCCTTCGCATCATATTAACTTGTCCTGATCCCTCTCACTTCCATCCCAAAGAACTGTCTTCCAGATTTGTGCGCCACGCTTTGTGTCCTCCGTCGGGTATAAATATCGGCGTGGGCGTGTATTTGGTGGCCGGCTGAGGCCAGAGAAAGTCGACGATAGGTGTGATCATTAGAATGAAGATGTACTAGGTCGTACTTGCAGAATTGATGAAACTTAGGTAGAAGTCAAACTTGTTGGGTGCGAAAAAACGTCGTGGAGGAGTAATATGAATTTATGCCCAGTGGGCCAACTTCTTTGATATTGCGAAATTTGACTGAACTTGGCTCTGGAAGAATATTTCACTCCCAGGTTCGTAGAGGACACCGCGTACAGGTGTTCAGTCTTGCCCTCCTTTCTAACCCCTTGTTCGAGAGAAGCTGACCTCTGCCTGTCTCCAAAAAGTCCGGGGTCTCGATTTTCTTCTCGGCACCTCCCGTGGTGCTAAAAACTTTGCCCCTATACAAGAAAAGACCAAGTTTCTCTCTGAAATCTGCCCAATCCGCACCGTGTGATCTGGTCAAGAGAGAAATACGCTGTATAGCGCTTACAAATTCTTGAGGGAACTTTTATTTGAAGGCCTCTCAGTATCTAGTCGTAAATAAATATATTTTTTTGTAGCAGTCACCACGTCGCCCCCGGGATGGGCCAACAGCCTTCGCTCTCGCCCGGTTGACTTTAAAAATATAAAAATATTTGAACTTCTAGTAATTAGCTACTTTTGCTTTGTGCCATCATCGCAAATTAGCGTCTTCTCATATTTGGCCTGATGACATATCTGCACACGGATTTCTCAAAGGTCTGGCTGTGGTGTCATGAGAACACCAGAGCTTGCGACGTGCTCAGTATCCTTCCTTGTACTCTGTGGACATATATAGTTCATCTTGTATTGGAAGCGATTTGACATTTGCGAGTTTCATGAACAAACTGTGGTATTTACGGAGATGTCTGACTGATTCTGAGCCGAAACATTGGACAGCCTGCAATCCTAATAATCATGGGATCCTTGAAAAGACCTTGTAATAGTAACAGCGAAGTGTAGAAATAAATTAAGTATCGGGTTCACGTTTAGGACCAGATAAATGCACAGTTGTGATCCAGAATCGCAATGAAAAGGCCTCATCAGGATCTCTGGATACCCGCAAGCGTGTCTAGAACTTCGTGCGAAAGACGGGTTGCAGGACAATAGATCTTGACGTCGAGGAATATGCGTTTATGGAGGTAAATTGCCCACTAATTTGGGGTTTCGTCTAGCCCACTTTTCCACTACTTCTTTACACCTTCTACAACTAGCACCGGTCTCCACTTTGTTCCTGCATAATATCATTTATGCCAAGCCTCGGCTTGGCATAAATGATGCTACTCTTCCGAATGAAGTGAGCATACATTTGTGCATTTAAACAAAAATATATAAATATAAATGTTAAATTTACTCGAGACCTGTACCTTTCGTGATCCTCTCCAAATGCCACGGGTTCCAAGGCACAGACCCTAACAGGCGTAGAATAGGAGCTTTGCAGGACATTCATCCAGGGTTGTCTTGTTAAATACTCACCAGTACAACGATATTGGCTCAATTCCCATCTTCATTCAAGAATCGCTGCCTCAAATTGTCGTGTCCAATACGTTGGAGATGCGCAAGCTTGAGTTATACCGTCTCTGGCAAGGTTCAGAGGGCGACCAGCCATGGAAAGCCAAGCACTTTCAATTTCTGGTCTCACCCCCCCATCACAAGGGAATTATTAAGTATCGTCGGAAGCGTTTGGTGAGTGGACACCTTACTCGAGCAAAGGCTCGTCGTACCAACCCTCAATCTATGAGGCTACTACCCTCATTGTGCGGAATTTCTGACGCGGCGTAGTTGTCGACCTCGCCAAGGGTTTGGGATACGCGACGTGTAGTGCATGGGATTATTTGATGTGCCAGCCCAGGGTCATCAAGACCCCTGTCGCCAGGCGCCAAAAAACCGTCGGCCTAATGTGACAGATGGTCTTGCTCATTCCTCCTCGCAAATGCCCACTCGATTGCCACCTATATTATCTCTTCTCTCGACTTGTCCCATTTTGTTTTTTCACAGCTTCCCTACTATCGATCATGGCACCTAGAAAATCTTCTCCCTCGCCTCAAATCACCTTCCAGGCGGCTCCGGGCCAGAAACCTCGTAGGTCACCCCGCCAGACGCACAACCCGAAGCCCTATTAATTTTTCTAGCTACGCCGGAGGAGATCAAAGAGATGCAGCGACAACTCGAAGCTGATGCCGCTAAAAATGGAATGACCGTACCTGAGTTCATCGAAATGATCAAGGCTCAGGTCAAGGCGCAGAAGCAGAATAAGACGTCTCAATCTCCCGGGGAAGATGACGATGAATTGCTAAGTCAACCCATCAAGCCCGGACCGCCCACGCCCGCCGCCCTCGCCGTCGCCAATTTTCTCAAGGGCCAGGACTTGAAGGTGCGCACCTGTATCCTGGATGGCCAGCGAAAGGATATGTTTAAAGGCAGGCCGCCGGCTTACGTCCGTTTCCTCGCGATATCCTCCAATCTAACAAACTTCTGCAGTCAAGAGAGCTCTACGAGCGCTACAATCGCCCGCCTATGAGAGTGCGCGCAAAAAGAACCCCGTCCTACCGGAAATCACCGACCGGCCGTCCCTCGAGAATGCCTTCAAACTACTACCAATGTCTCTCCTCGCCCTGCGCGTGAGTAAGGTAGACCCAAATAAAAGCAAGGACGGCCTGCCCACCCCTTCCAAGAAGAAGAGAATCAAGGGTCTTTGGACCGTCGAGATTGAACAGCATCAAGAATGTCGCGAAGAATTACATTTTGTCTGGCTCTTCGAGGGCTCGCAACTCAAACAGAAATTATACGCAGCTGGCGCGCTAGCCATAGTCTTCACTATCGTAATGTTTCCGCTGTGGCCCATTCAACTTCGTATAGGAGTGTGGTATTTGAGCTTGGGAATGATGGGACTACTTTGTCTCTTTTTCCTCATGGCCATCTTCCGGCTGATTCTCTTCGTCATCACCATGTTCACCCATCCACCCGGGCTCTGGCTTTACCCCAACCTCTTTGAGGATGTAGGATTCATGGATAGTTTCCGGCCGGTGTGGGGCTGGCAAAAGGTAACTCTTGATCATAACACACGACTACTATAGCGACTAACAGACAAAAATAGACGAAGAAAGGGAAGAAGAAGGCCAAGGCGACTGGCTCTTCCAATGCTGGTGCGACCATGGCAGCCATGACGGGACAGCCGCCGCCTGCCAGTGCGACAACCTCCTCGACTGCGCCTCAGATCGATGTATCTAAGTCACCTCAGAGACGATTAACACCCAAGGTCGAGGACGCTATAGATGAAGAATAAATGTAGAAATTACAGCTTGAAGGTTGAGGGGAAGTAACGGGGGAATGGAGGACTTGATTCCATCTAATTTGACGATATTATGTTAGGGCATTATTATAGTACATATGGAATCTCGAAGAATCCCGTAAATATCATGATTCCGAGCCACGCAATGTGATGAGCGGTGGAGGGGCGCGCTAGCCAGGCCCCCTTCATCCAGCCCTACGGCGCCAACCAAGAACTCGGGTGCTTGCAGCTTGCAGACAGATTTACACTACATGCTTGGAAGATTAGCTTCTCTAAAGTCTGCGGCAGTGGAACTAGGCTGGAAAACGAAGGGACTTAATACTACGACAAAGAGTTATCCATGTCTTCTCCCTTGCGCGCGAGACCAGACCTTCAGCTAGCTGTGACAAGGCGCGGGAGCCAACACATCACATAGAGTAGATACGAACTGGCGAGCAGAAGAAAATCACGGCAATCTGAGTAGGTATTGAGATGGCAGCATTCAACGCTCCGGGCAGTGCCGCGGCTCAGTGGCTCATTAAGGCAGAAGCGAGGGAGGAGGACACGAATATTTGCTAAGAGTATAGATTTCTAGAAGGCGTGTGTGCGCGTTAGAGACTATCAACCACCCGCAGCCGCCCGACCTCCCTCCCACCCATTCCCACCAGGCTCTGCCGCTCGGCCCCTGCGCCCTACCGTCGGCAAGGGTGGTAGCGCACAGCTCGGCGGCGGCATGGGCGGCGAGCTCTGCAGAATGTTAAGTAGCGAACGCCGTGGTCGCGCTGTGGCGCGAGGCACTTCGGGCGATGTCGTGTCGCGCGAACAATATGAACCTGGCTTCACATAGTATGACGATGATGAGTGCGCACATTTACTCGGGCGCCAATGACACTGCGAGGCAAGCTGATGCGCAATGTGATGCGCGTAGCTGAGTGTCGTTAGGGGCCCGTCGTCCGACGAGACCCGTCGCATCTTTGGCGCATCGATAGCGCGAGAAATACTCGCCCGGCGCGATGGCTTGACGGTGATAAAGTCTTCGTCATCGTCATAAGTGAGCTGTGCCTTGTATAGACACCGCGACTCAACCTGAAGCCGAGAGCGACGTGACCCGTGAGAGAGCTTGAAGGGGAAGGCACTTTCTAGCTCAACTCGAGGTTCGCCATTGATGTTCTCCCTACGTGTTCGTCCTCGATCTCCTCTCCTTCGACTGCCCTCGGGAGACTCCCGCACACGCGGGCCCGAATACTTCGATCCAACTTGTGCAGTCTTCGCCGTAGTTTCCGAACTCGGGCCCAATGTATTTTGAAACAGCGTCGTCGCATCTCCACTTTCTCGAGTGGGAGGGATGATCCTATGGATGGGACCTTGCTGTGATGTTCTTCGTGAATTACGGTTAGTTGGCTGAAAGTCTGTGATTTGAGATGAGGTTTTAGGGCAATGGAGGTGTATAATATGGGATGAGTTGGATTGTGGTTTCGTAGAGGGGTCTGTAAGTTTTCGGGTAGATTTAACTGTGTGACTGGCAAACGTTGACGATTCTTTGATGGAGGAGCTTTGATGTGAATAATTAATAGTCAACGTAGATCTGTGTGGTAGTATCCCAGGGGATGGCCCGCTGGTTCGATTAAAATTGAAATAATCCTGCTCATGTTCCGTATATTTTACTGACGTCGTGCTTTTCCGGACTTCAGCTAGGCCCGCCCAGAGTGGCTTCGAGTTTGAGTCTTTGGCTGATATTTGGGAATGACAGCTATCGCACGAATCTATATTAGGCGAGCTGCAGGGTGATGATCCTGGAGATGTCAAGAGAGTGCGCTGGCCAGAGGACGTATATGAAGAGCGATGCTGGCTACCGCTAAGACTTTGTAGCCTTCTTCCGTCATGAGAAATAAAACTATTGGGAGTAGAACAATCGCCAGTCGATGGACGAAAGGCGAGAGGTGAATGCCGGCCTGACTTTGAGCTGCACACACTTCTTGGCCTTCCTTCCATCCTACGTTTATCGGCTGTATTCGAGTTTGGCTTCGGTGAAATCATGTCTAACCGTTGAGCTTCGGGCGATAGATCAGAATTTCGATGGATGAGAACTCTTCGACGTGGCAACTCTAGAGGCGGAAGGGGTTTTTCGTAGTAACACTTCGACTTTTCTGATATTTGAATTGCTTCTCCCAAAGTATTGATTTCCTTTCTCAGGACTGTAATCCAAGATACTAGCTCTTCAGCACTATCTAGAACCAAAAGGAAGCTTGTGGCAATTTTCTTGTATTCTGAGCCTCTCTGAGTGAGTCGAGAAAGCAAGGAGCGGGTATCAGCAGAAGTTCCATCAGAGTTCAGGGCATTTGAAACCTGGAGAACCCAATGTTTTCCAGGAATCACATCACTTGCGAATGCGACAGAGTCTTTCTCCAGTTTCATAATTTTCTCGGGGACTCGATCTACAGGCCCTGCTCCGGAATATTGCAGTAAGTAGCCAGATGGAACTAGGACGTATATCTTTCTTGTCCATTCTAGCTTCTCCAACACCCTGGTTGATTTTCGCTTGTGAAGAGATTTTGTATTTACAATCCTTTTTCGTACTAAGCTTTCTGCTTGGATACTTGCTTGGTTGAGATGGCGTTGATCTGATCTTTGCTCCAGGAGATCCTGAGATGGTTTATTACCCTGTCTATAACTGCTTGTGCGTAGGATCGTTTCGGCAGATAAGGTCGAAGCCGGGAGAAAGGAGTACTTTAAGGCTTGAGGATATGCCTCATATAAGCATGGGGCCTCCCATTCTGTTGTCTGCTGCGAATAGCGCCTTTTCGAGGATTCCGGACTATATTTGGGTACTATCTTGTCATCTAAATAGTTTGTCCTTTTGGAACAGTCTGCAGTTTTAATCGGCGTCTTGTAGACTTGTTGCTGGATCAGAGGCGTAGATTTTGCGAGAGAGTTTACTGAGGTTCTAGCATTAAGAGATCTGAAAGTATTCTTGTGAACGACTTTGGCCTCTTCAAACGAGGGCTGATGGGTGAGGTTATCGAAGCTTTTGGACTTATTACGTGCAAACATACGCTTTATATTACCAATTGACTCTCGGTGGGTAGCTACCTGCGTATTATTTGAGTCCATGGGCAGCATCGGCGGTGTCTGGAAGTCACGATCAATACACCTAGATTGACTAGTACAAGGCACATGCAACCTCTTTTTTACTTCGAATTGATTTGAGTGACGATTGGACGTAGACATGTTTGACGGTTGCGTAGTTGATAACTTGAAAGAGAGAAGGGATGAGAGCTATGATCAGAATAGATTGTGAGCGAAAGAGGTATAGTAGGTGTGCAATAAATTGTGGTAACCAAGGCGTGATATTCGGAGTCGTAGGCTCACTCGGGATGTTGAAAGGTACGCACCCTTTTCAGTAGGCAAGTCGGTCAGACTAGTTTGTGATAATTGGAATTCTAGATTTGTCCGATGGGACCATTTCTAATTTATATCAAACGCCTTGAAGATTTCCTTGTGTATAAGCTTGGAGAGTTAGATTCTAGGCGTGTGAGATAGTTGAATCCTAGTAAGTAGATATGACGCAATGTTGTGGCCCAGGGATAGGAAAACGAGCGGAGGTACTGCCAAATCAATGAAGTCGGCAAGGGCGGAAGAAAGGGAGAAAAATGAAGGTTTGGACACTGAGCCCGAAAACTGGACGGCGAGGCCTCACGCAGTATGCGACGTCAAAGTATCCGTAGTTGGCATCTGAAGGAGACGAAGACACGCCAGGCGCGGGCTTGGGTATATAGTTGTGATCTACCGATGCAAGCTTGGGGGAAGACTATCCACCTGCCCTATTCGGATCTACATGCATCAACTTATGCCTTGTTAACATCGCAGCGGATAGGGCAGGCGATTGGATGGTGAAGTCCGATCGACTGAATACGCGGCGATGGCCAGGTATCAGCGGCTCTGTTTCGACCAATTCTTCTTCCCTCCTGCTACCACGCTATAGCTGCTGGCCAGACGTTCATGGTCCTGGATGTTGACAGCTTAGCTTTGCTGCTTGTAGTAACAGTGTCGCGCTGAAGACCATAACCTTTCCGGACGGCGGCTCGTTGTGATTCGGCTTTCCAGTAATTCTGACGACGTTGCGGGTACTAGCCAGCGCGAGTTACAGAAGTCTCCACTAGATTAAAGAATACGGAAATCCATCTTAATCGGATCCTGGTCCAGGACCCTTGAGAGTTTCAGGGATGCAGGCTAGCCGAGCTCTGCAGCATAATTTCCCAGCGTCGGCCTTGGATGTGGCCAGGGGACGGGATTGTAGAAGGACGCAGGCGATGGGGAGTTTGAATAGCGGGAACTTGACGGATCAGGATCCACTCGGGACGCGAGGGAAAATGGCTGGAGTCGGAGGGAACAACTAAAGCTCCGCGTCAGGCATGACAGCCGGGGCCCCACAGGATCCCTGCCTGGAAAGCCGAGGCGGAAACGGAAGTTGAGCATCGGCAATGCCTTTCCTGCGCCATCATTCTCGGCCCGCGATCTCAGGTCAAGAGTCCGAGTCAGGGAGGACGTCTATAAAGGGATACATTGCGGCGCCGCCTAGCTAGGCTCAATTTTCTTAAATCTGGCACGAGAATAGCCGCTTTTAAATTTACAGCCTCAAAATTGCCCAGGTCGTATGCCTATGCCTAGGCCCGGTGCCGAAACAACTCCGTTTGGGCCTCTGGAAAAAGGTAACCGGGTAACTCGGCAAGATAGAGTTAAAGGGGGGACTGGCAGTAAAGGGGTGCAGAGGAACTGTATCTCGTAAGAACCCTTCTCCTGAAAATGGTAGTGTGGGGAGGATATGGCCGACTTAGCTGAGTCGCAGCCGGCTTCATAGAGAAGAGGCGAAGCCAGAGGAAGTACTGATAGATCATGAAACGCCACACCGGTGATAGATTCTTTACGGTTAGGCGCAGGCTCACTGGCAATAAGACCTATTCAACGCAGCTGCATCTAAGGGTCTGGGGTCTCATTGGCGCTGCATGGAGTATCGGCAGCGATCATTCTGGTCGTGACGAGAGGGATGAATAGAAGCAAATGCAAGTGTTCCAACGGCGTAAAACTAACTTTGCGAGTCCTCGTTGGACTAGAATGAAATGGGGCAAAGAGTTCTGGACAGATCGTTATGGGGCAGTTATTTTGGAGTGTAGAGGACTGGATACGCAGCAACGTTCGTGGAAAAGCAGAGTAGTATCAAGGGGGAGAAAGAAGATGAGGCCAGCACCGGACCCTCTTGCCTGAGCGTTGAATTGTCCTCTGTTGTTCTATAATACCCTTCATTACTATACATAACTGTATAGTACTACCTATGACTGCGGTATTATGCGTTAATCAACATCACCAAACATAACTATGCAAATTGCACAATATTGTAAAATTCTGTATATAGCTAGCATTTGGAATCCTCCAGCCCTCAAGATCAGGAACCGACCGGCGCAGCTGCAAAGAGCCAGACTAGGTCGAGGAGGCAGACTTCGCGACCTCCCAGACTTGAGCAAAGAATGGAACTGCCGCCAGTTCGCCAGGCGAGTGTTAAGCATACCGAGTTGTCGCTTTTACGGATACCCAATGACCACAAGTTAGACGCGAGGGGATGCAGATGGACCGAGGCGAAGGCGCGCACTCCTTCGACACTGCAAGTCAACCCTGAGAGTTGCGGCAGATGACAGCAGAAGCTGTGCCTTCCCGCCAACCTGGCCAGAGACGACGGTCTGCAGCCGCCATTGTCTCCATCATCCTCGGCCCCATCTTTCCCGCCAAGCCAGAGAGCTTGCGTCGGCAGTTCTGCACCTCAGACTGCCTGCAACAGACTCCTTCGGGTCCGAGCCGCGGTAGGAACGCATGCAGACCAGTCCCGACTTGGGAGTAGATGCATCCGTCTCTCTCTACACTGCAACTTCCGCTCATGTCCTGTACTCCTCGATGCTGCTGACCTTGGGCCGTACCAGAAAGTCTCTCTTGCGAAGGATCCAGCCCGTCTTCCCTAGCGCTGAAATCTCCCTATTTCGCGCCCACGCCAGCCTGCCTACAGCAGGGAGATGGCTCATGCCGCCGTCACGCCAACTAGTCCCCGTTGGTCGCGTCTGGAGATGGAGCGCCCAAACTTCTGCTGCGACGAGGCCCGCCTTTGCTAGGGATCCCTACTCGCTCCCGACACGACCAAAGACGGCGGGGAGAGCTTTGCTCGCCATGGTACAGGCCACCATATCGAGCCCCTTGGCCCTGCTCGAAGCATTAGCCTTTCGCTCTAATGCACGTGATCGGGTAGTTAGGCTTGATTAGTGCTAGCGTCTCTCGCAAATGCTTGGACTGTTCGATGATCTTTGCTTAGCCCAATCAGAGCTTACCAGTGATACAACGTTAACCACCACTGCTCCTGACAGTTTGGGTCACTTCCGTCGTGCCACGCATTTGCCCGCCCCCCTTCGCCGCTACTCATTTAGGGACTTGCATATCTTCCCTCACTCCGCAAGACCCACCGACGGGAGAGTCCAAACCCTACCCATGGAATTGGCCCCCCAACACGCCTGCATCGTCTGCGACCGACATTCCTGGCGTGAAATTGGCAATAACAGGGCTCGTCGCAGATTCCAGCCAATACATGCCGGAATTGAAAGACTGGTTCGCCGTATCTTCCACTTCAACTTGTCCCGAAGGTCGGCTCAGCTTCGTATGCACCTCCACAAAACAGTGCGGGCCGTGCTTCTCTACAATTTTTGCCCGAAACCGAATTAATTCCGAGTATACTCATTGAACCGAGGATACGCCATGTCTATTTGCATCCAAGAGACAGTTTGCACAAAAATCATCAGCTCCCTTTCAAGTCAGTCCCCATGGCTTTCCCCAAATCTTATCCTCGAGGTCTCATGGTGTCATCATTCAACATCACCGATCATCCTGATCTATATGTGAAGCTTCGGAGTAGAAAGATGATCCGATACCTGGACTCAGTATTCCATTCGAATCATGGGCTGAATTAATTTCCTCGTGCCAAAGTTATATCCTCCCTCCCGGAGCGGATTTGGTCAGCTTCTCGATAGACTCTTGCTCGGAAAACGTCAAGCAAATATCTCGAGAGTAACCACTAAAATTAAGGCGAGTGGTTAAACACCGACCAATATTATATCAAACCTCAGTGAGCAACGCAACTACCTTTAAATATTACAAGTAGCCCCAAGATCCTCTTCATCAATGTTGAAAATTTACTACACGCGACATTACATGAATATAGTCAGGCGATAAAGAAATTTGATCAATGGCACTAGAGGAACTACCGGCTTACACGCAAAACCATTGGCTAGATCGTATTAAAATCTCACTAGTTAACCATAATCAAACCTAATGCACCGCATTACGTGATTGTATAGATGTAAAAGAGATCAATTATTCTACTCAGAATCCTCTGGCGGAACGGTGTGGCGAATGAAATTTCACAGTGAGGGTTGAAATTTACCACCATCAAAATATTCTATAGAAAAAATGCGGCTCGCAAACGTTATTCCGGCCTCATATTTTCCTGGAAAATACCGATTAGACCGAGGAGGCTTTGGAATACACATGAATTAGATCTTTTGCAGAATGCACAGAGCTTTATTCTTTTTGGCGACCAGTAATAGATATCCAATGGAGAATACGAAATCAGAAGTTTTGTGTAACAGGTGCTGGTATGCAGTCACCGAGGAGGTAGCTAATAAAGATGATACCGCTCAAGGAGACGATAGAGTGCGTTTTCATCTATGTGTCTTGTCTTATTTGTTGATCACTGAGCAGTGAGCGCACTTTTTTAGCATCGTCGAATATTTTTGATTACATCAATACGTCGGGCATTCTACATAGACTAGACAAGCAGACGAATAGTTTCTAATCTCGTACTTTGCGTTAGCGTAATGTTAAAATAAAATGAGTAGGTGTGAACTTTACAGGTTCTACGTGTTCATAATTACACTGAAAAGTGGTTTAAACCCTTCCTAGTTAGACCCTATCACATTTACATTGTTATTTTTTATCTCTCGTTCACCTAACGAAATTTCACTTATTATTTTTAAATTGATTTCATTGTTCTGATTTGGCGCTCTATGGTTCCATGCATATTTCTATGAAAATTTCTGACTTACATAGGAGGAAACCTTGCAGCAAAAATCCCCATAGCTGTAATTGGATTCCGCGCCATTATGATCTTACAATTAGGAAGTGCACTCACACTGTTGCAGGTGTAGATTCATCTTCGCCTGATTAATGACTATCTTTTTCCTGTCATCCAAACTACTCTAGAAATCCTTCTTTTTGAATCCACTGTGCAATTTTAGTCATATCTTTGGCGTTATTTACTACAGTTTCGAAGGATCCGGCTGTCAATTTTTGCAAAAACTCGCCTCTTTCCTTTGCCCATTTTGGACAAGACATCACCATGTGCTTTATGATTTGATGGATCTGATAGGTAACTCTCTACAGTTCATCATAAGTCGACTTGTTTTCTTGTCGTTGCCAAAGTGTGCAGCTATCTTTCACTCTTTAATTATTTGGGTCGCAAGCAGCTAATTAGCGATGACACATAATCAGATCCTTAAAACACGTGAGATGACTCTTGAAATAAGAGAAATTCGTAAGTTTTGTCCTTCGCTGTTAACTACGCTCGACTGCCAAGCAGCTCGGTGCTTTAAATCACTCTCCTGGCTCACATCTTTCATTCCACTTTTATACTTAGGCCCAACTCTCATTGGTAATGCACGTGCTCATTTAGGAGGAAGGCTAAATAATTTGCAATAGTGTCCAAGATACAATTAGGGATCTGTTTGGTTTTATGTTAACGTGCATGGTAAAATGACATCCAGCGCACTCCTACTGGAGCTTAAGCACAAGTGGGACCGGGCCGGATCAAGTTAACTAGCGTAAGGCACAAATATGCCTCGTTCTATCTAAACGGCCGGAACCATGCTGAAACGCATCTATGTGTCGGTCCATGACGAATCTAGCAGCCCAGAGTACAAGCAAAAGAAAACTTCCTCGCGAAATCCCGCATTACGAAAGAAAAACTTTAAAAGTCTCTCCTCCATCGTTTTGCCTCGGCCACCACGCACCCGAGCCTCGATGTCAATCCCTCTTTCCACGCCAAACCACCCAGGCTGTCGATTTGTGACCCATCAAGGATCTGTCGTTTACTTTTTTTGTAGATTAAGGTGCTGGGCAATTGGCGCTGTCCGCACCCTTTCCGATGCGTTAGTTACTCCTCAACCTCAGCCACCGAGAGCTCGAGCCCATGATACCTTACCAAATTTCCTATTCCCTTTTATCCCGGTCCCAACTTTTCTTTCTCTCATACAGGGGCCATCTTATTCATCAGAGGTCGAATCTGTCTAAGGCTTAGAATAGCCACCGAGCAAACTGGACGAAAAGATTTTTTAATCATTTGCGGTGGATCCGGCCTACACAAGCTATGCCACACTTAGCCACCATGAACGCGAAAATTTAAAATAACAGCTCTCCCAACCCATTCTTCCACTCCTCTGACGCATGGCATCTCCTACTCTCACCCTCCACCTCGCAAGGCGAACCAGACATTTGGACTTTGGCTCTCGTGGGAACAGCCCTCCTTCCTCCTGCACTTTTGTATTGCTGCCGCATCTAGGGATGTAGAGGTTTCTCGGGCTGAAAAAAGACATAATTACACGCACGGACTTCTTATTCTGGCTAGGCCCGGTAATCTTTATTTAGAAGCGCAGCTCTCCCGCCCCCAGCGCATTTATAATTTAGATTACTTGGGATCACGAGTGCATACAGCAAAAGTTCGACTCTAAGGGAAAAATAAAGTCTTTTGTCTACCGGGCTATTCATCCCTACAAATAGTCTTGAGTTGCTACAGGTCAGCTATCCAAGTTTCCTGGCATTCTCCTTTCTGTTTTCCCGTCGTGGTCTCACCTATATCCATCTATTATTCTCAGAGACTGAAAACTATCCATATCTCCGGCCTTACCCGCCGCTACTGTACCCCTGATCGTTGAGGCCGAATGTGCGTTGAGGAGCTCAATACTGAAGCACCGATACCTCGACCTTTGTCAAATTCTCTGCTTGATACACCAGCGAAATGTTGTACTTGTTCCGTCGATGAAGTTCGTTGAGGGTCGAGTTTGGGGTACCCCTAGCCAAGGTATAGTCGCATTTTATCATGATTGGTATATGATTCGGGAATCTACACTTGTGCTGGAACAGCTAAGATAGTATATGGAGAGATATCTTTATTGATATGCAGAACAGAGGTTACTATGATAATTAATATCTTAAAAACCGGGGGAGCTCGTCTCTTATCCCCTAGCTAGTTCGCTTATAGACCGATCACGTAACCAGTTTGTAGCGCACCAAAGTGTTCTCCCAATTGAGCAACTATGCCAATTGTGCTATACTAACAACTCATCTCTCATACTGCATACAGTACTACTTGTAATGCCGCTATGTAGAGACTGGATCTCCATTTTCCGCCATAATGCTATATTGTGATAATAACTACATATGCACCAGCCAGTAGATCTACCATACTATAGAGCTGGGCATAACGAATTTGAGGTCGGTACTTTGGCCGCCACCTCATAGTACGCTACAGTTTCGGGGCATCGAAGACCTCTTTTCTTATGGTGATTAAGACATTGATTTATTGGCAAGCTTCAGTTGGTGATGAGATGAATTTGACTAGGATATATCTTCCAAGAAAATTAAAGACAGTTCAGACTGTTATTGCTACGAAAATCAGATAGTTTTGGGCCTGTCTTTGCTTAATATTTGGGCAGAAGATGTTTAGCTGCGATGATTTGTAGAGTTATGAGATCTCTGCAGCTCGGAATTTCGACCAGGAACTTGTTGAGACCGCTCCTCCCCATCGCCATGGGGGACTGTTCTCAACACCCGTCGGTGGTGTCCCTTGCGAACTTCCAGCTCTCATTGTAGAGTCTGCAGAGGCGAGATTGAGTAACACTTCTGTCCTCACTTCAATGAGAATTCCCAATCGCTTTCGCCATCTGTTTCGTCTTAATCTCTCAACACATTCCCCTGCCACCATTATCATGAAGCTAACCGCGATTAGATCAGATGGTAGGGTCGGAGCTCTTCTCATCACCAGCTCTTGATCATGGAGAAGCCATTCGATGAGCTTCCGGAGCGTATCCAGCAGCTGATACGGAGATGGTAGATTGGATCAGGTCGGCCTCGAATGTAACAAAGAAGGGAGATTTAGATGAATATGCGCACCTCATGTGATCCCGGTGTCTAGGCCTCGCCTGGCTGGGGCTGCAGGTTTTTTGAGACTTTTTCCCGCGCACGCAGTTTCCATTGCTACCATTTTTATTTTGTTTGGGTAGTAGGTTCCGTGGAAAAAGTGGCCGAATTCCACGGGTAAACACTGAGCTGAATGGTTATTCATCACGGGCAATATGCCAATGATCTTTCAAGAAACATGAGAGGCAAGGAGCACTGTACAAGGTGTGGTCTGGGTCAGAGAGGAGCCCAATGTGCTAGATAGTCTAAGACTCAAGTAGTGCAATAAACATACCTCTCTCTCTCTCTCCCAATCCCCATCTCGACGAACTCTCAGATTCATCTTTTGTCATGACTCAATCTCGGCTTTCAAGAATAACTTAATGACAGGCTCGTATAGTACGCCGCTAACAGATGACCAGCCTTCGCCCTCTATCAAAGACAGCTAGCTGAGCTCTTTGTAGATTCTGGGTGCTTGGGGACACTTTCAAGCT